ATATAACTCAAATACTACCATTTTTGCACAATTTTACTGTGAAAATCAAATTTAATGTCTTTAAAAATAACTAAGTTTCTCAAACGTAAAATAATGTTTAGCAAATTTTGTTAATATCCAGAGCTTTTTAAAGTTAAAAACTATAGAATTGTAAACTATCATTTACATACCTTAACAATAGTTTAGAATTGCTCTTAAGGATAAATAACACAAACTTTTTTTCAGGAATATTTCTCTTGAATATATATTCAAATAGATAAACAGAATAATGTTTATCAAGTAAAGTGGGAGAATTTTATAAGATTTTGTCACAATGTTAAAGATATGTGCAAAATTTTGTATAGGATTACATAGAAAACGACACAAAGTTGCTTCTATAAGCACCAACGAAAACTTAAAATTTCTTTACATTTTAGGGATTTATTATTTGTGTCATTTTTATTCACAATCAGTCATGAAATATATATCAATCCATGCATCAAATTGTCAGATAAATGTGAGTTCCAAATAAGACCACCAAATGCTTACTAAAAATTCCTCACTGCTACTGCTTATACATGTAGATGATATTGCCTAATTGTTCAGTCATTAATATGCATACTTGAACACATGTTGAATGCAACAATATATCAAAATTCAAAAAGATGATGTCCTTGAATACTTTACACGGGGAAACAGGAGGAAGGAAAGTTTCCCTCTTGAAATTTAAACAAAACACGGACTCCAAAATTTTCTGACAAGCAAATAGCTATTTTGACTGGGTATACACTGATATAAGGACAGAAAAATTGTGGAAAAGAAAAATCTTAATTTCCTATATCTGTAGAGAAGCTAGGCCATTTAAATGTATAAGGGGAAGGGGTGACACATACAACTCTTATTTTGTTCTGGGTAACATAAGCAATTTTATGTATTTTAGAAACACTTCACAAATATTTTGCCTAAGCATCTTTGGCGCTTTATCTTTAAATTATACGTCAAAAATCACAAGGCAGTTTATCTATGCGAAGTATTTGAATTTTTTCACGTGTGTATATTTAATTTAAATCAGTTTAATGGCTTAATAGAACCCCAACCCATTCCTCCGAGTGGACTCCCCTACATATAGGAATTTTCTCCGACATTGCAGTAGTGTACATCCCCAGTTAACCTCCTGAAGTACAATGCTTTCTGAAATTCAGTTTGAACCTTTTTAGTGACTTTTCAACAGTTTTAGCCTTAACACCCCCCCCCCCCCCGTGAATAGCATATATTTAAATTAGGCAATATTATCGACATCTGTAAGCAGTCAGTTGGCGGTGAGCAGTTGTAGCGGGTGTAACGTCGAAAACGTAGAATATTGATCGGGGGGGGGGGTCAAATTTCTACGTAGAAAAATGACTCCGGGGTCATTATTCTACGACAAGTAGATTTGTTTTTTCGACTGTAGGACATCCTTCCTTGCCAGTAATTCTACGACTCCACTCACGTTGAAAAATGACCCCCATAGAAATCTGATCCCCTACTTTTTCGATATATGATAGAATAAAACCTTTAGAATTGAGATGTGAAAAGCGTTAGTCCCGGGGTTGGGGAGGTTCAGCGAAGGCTTAGAGATAACTGCGTTTTTCTCTTACTTTGAGATGTTTGTTGGTGAGGGAGCAATATACATACATACATACATATATATATATTTATATATATATATATATATATATATATATATATATATATATATATATATATATATATATATATATATATATATATATATATATTGAAAATAAGATTGGCTTGTCTCCAAACCATGCACTGCAGTATATGGTTCTCCCTTTTTTTATGCCCCCGGATCGAAAGATCCCGGGGGTATATTGTTTTTGTCCTGTCTGTCTGTTTGTCTGTTTATCTGTCTGTCTGCCTGTTGTCAACTTTAACCTTGACCATAACTTTTGATTGGTTGGACCTATGACTTTCATATTTCACATGTGTATTCCTTGTGACAAGACCTTTCTTTGGGTACCATCATATTTGACCTTTTGACCTTGACCTTGGAGTTTGACCTACTTTTGCAAAATTTTATGAGACTTTAACCTTGGCCATAACTTCTGAACAGTTGGTGCTTGGGGTTTCAAACTTCACATGTGTATTGTTTGTGACAAGGCCTTCCTTTGGATACCAACAACTTTGACGTTTTGACCTTGACCTTGGACTTTGACCTACTTTTGAAAAACTTTAACCTTGGCCATAAATTTTGAACAGTTGGAGCTTAGGGTTTCAAACTTCACATGTGTATTCCTTGTGACAAGACCTTCCTCTGGATATCAACCACTTTGACCCTTTGACCTTGACCTAGGAGTTTGACCTACTTTTGAAAAACTTTAACCTTGTCCATAACTTTCGAATGGTTGGAGCTAGGGCTTTCATACTTCACATATGTAATCCTTGTGACAAGACCTTCCTTTGGATACCAACCACTTTGACTTGACCTTGATGTTTGACTTTTATTTAAAAAACTTAACCTTCGCCATAACTTTTGAACAGTTGTATCTAGGTCTTTCAAATTTCACAGGTGTATTCCTCGAGACAAGATCTTTCTTTGGGTATCAACATTTTTTATCTTTTGGCCTGGATTTTGACTTGCATTTGAGAAACTTTAACCTTTGCCATAAGCTGCCATACGGGGGCATCAGTGTTTCACAAACACATCTTGTTTTTTTTTCTTTTTTGCTCCTGTCATATAAATAAAGTCTGCGGACATTGAATTTTTGGCTTTTTAATGAATTAAGAATTTCTAACATGTTCGCTCCTCCCTTCCCCCTCACCCCTGTCGTTTTCATAACTTAAATTCTTCCTTCTGACTTAGAATTGAATACTTCTTTCAAATGTTTTACGATTTACAAACTTTATCTCTATAATCTTACAAAGCTTGAAGAGGTCGCCTATGCGCGACAGAGGCAAACTTGTATCATTTTTAAGCCCACAATTGGCATGGCTCTCTTTTTGGATTGAATAGTTCTACTGCTTACCCCGGTAATTGAATTATTTTGATTTTATTTTAATTTTCCCATAAGCCTGTAATAAGGTGAACATTTACTCAAATTACACTGATGGCCCAATTGATCCACTCAAAAACGTTCAGTAGAAATCTATGTTTGTTAAGTAGAACCATGCAACAAGTAAAGGTAACATGTAGGTTTTATTAACAGTAATAGTACGCATTTGAATAAAACACCAAACGAACATTTATATGCAATGAGAAAAACGAAATACCGGGTAATGCGTAGAACAACGAGGGAGTCATGATGCAAGTGCATTTTGGCCAATATTCAACGCAACGACACGATGTCTGAACAGTACAAATATAGAATTTTTAAAGTAAACTGAATTCAAACAAGGGAAAGGGATAATAAATGTCAAACCCTATTTACACATTTGGTCAAATAAAAAATATTTTACAGACCTCCTCTCTGCATGTGGATAATTTAGGGCATCAGTCGCAAATCTACTTTTCATACCGGTACAACAAATAAATTAATATCCAACTGGGATTTCAAGCTGACATATTATATTCCTTGCATGTTAGAAAGCATATGAATATTGTTCTTCAAGCATATAAAATTAAATGCGTACACAAAATAACACATTTCTGTTGCGTGAAGTTATCGCCCTTATAATTATAAATTACACTCATTTTTTTGCAAAAATAAACAATTCTGCTAAATCCAATTTAAATTAAAAAGATCAAGAATAAACATTTTTTTTAATTTCTTTTAAAATATGGATAAGAATTTTCTCTTTGTTGTAGAATAAGTATTTTTTCCATTATTTCTTATCGCAAATAAACTATGAAACTTCTATGTATTATGCATATATAGTATACATAGATATCAAATAGTTTTGCATATATAGTATTTTTCACTAGTTCAGTCAGATGGACAATAGATAGAGAGGGTGAGAAAGGGGAAAGAAAGAGGGAGAGTGTAGGGAAATAGTGGAGAGAGAGGGGAAGAGTGTGTGGATTGCGGTGGTAGGGAGCGGGAGAGAAAGAGTGTGGAGAGAGAGGTAGAGAAGAGGGGGGAGTGGAGGGAGAGTCGGGGAGAGAAAGAGTTAAGGAGAGAGGAGGGAGAGGTGGAGGGAGGGTTGGGGAGTGGAGATATAGAAAAGAGAGGAGAGTGGGGGGAAGAGATTGTGGAGAAGAGAGAGTGGGACAGAGAGTGTGTATGGGGTGGGGAGAGTGTGGAGGAGAGAATGGGGGTGTTTGGAGAGTATAGTGTTTGGGGGAGTGGGGAGAGTGTATGGGGAGAGAGAGTGGGGGTGTGGGGAAGAGTATAGAGTGTGGAGGGGGGAGTGAGGAGAGTGTGTGGGGAGAGGGTGGAGTGAGTGTGGGGAGAGATAGAGTATGGAGAGATTGGGGAAAGAGTGGGGCAAGGGTGAATGGGATGAGATAGTGGGTATTTACTCATTACTAACACACACCTAGTTTTTATCTGCTAAATATACAGTGGAGAGAGGACTTTTCACTATATGACAATTAATTAGACCCCAAGGCCATAATTTCTACAAAAAAGTGGGTCATTTTTTTACGAAGAATATTGACCAGGGAGTCAAATTTCTACGTAGAAAAATGATCCCTGGTCAGTATTCTGTGGGGTCACTTTTCATCATTACAGCGGCAGGTACCTAGCAGTAAGCAGTGGCAGTTGGTGTTTGTAAACCTTGTTGTGTATGTTATAATTTTGTGGTCTCTCATAACTACAACAATCGTTGAGCTCTGCACAATAAGGTTATGGTGGTCTATTAGTAATTATAAAAGTATGTTTTGTTCACAATGTGATTTTTGTATAAATCACACAAACACACACAGAGAAAAAGAGAGAGGGAGAAATATGTAAAGATTCTAGCATTGAACAATGATTTTACACATATATATCAAAGATTAAAACTTGTTCAATACAATTTTTGCGTGTTTTGCTCAAAGGGGATAGATTGTGACATTTAGAGGAAATTTATGAGACAACAACTCTTGTATTTTGATTTATTTGTGATGTTTTACATCAAATGATATTGCACATGAAGTTGAATTTTACTACTACTAAATCTTGAGTGTGTATGTACATTATTCATCCCAGTAATTTAAAATGCTTATAGATACATATTCAGATGACTTTTAACAACAGAATTCCACAGGCAAAACAATTCAATAACCACTGCTACATGTATATGGTATCTTGAGAAAAGCTCTATAAAAAGATATCAAAATGCTGAAAATAAGTATTTTACTGAATGAAAATTGGAAGAACCATATGGTTTAAGATAGACCAACAAAATGGACAGCATAAACTCATTTAAATGTCATTGTTGTCTTGGTGGAAGAATCATGTCTACTTGGACACATTACGAAAATCATTCAAAGACTGTCTGTCACACAGTAGGAGAGCATACATACTGCAAATCCCAGGAAACCATGCATTTACAAGGAAAAAATCAAGCAACATAATGCTCACCTATTTCTCTAAAAACAGAGATGAAACCCTCTAAGGCCTGATCACAGCATCCTTTAAATACCTGTATATTCATGTATGATTTATGCTTTGCAGGCAATACAAAAACAAATATTGGATTTGATGAGCCAACTATGACACAAAAACATGAAAATGTTCCATCTAGTAATAAATTTTTTTAAGTAAAACCAAAAGTTCTTTATCATAAAAAAAGAGCAAAACAACTTCATTCACCCAGCAAAAATATATTCAATTTCCAACAATGATTCACACAAGTTGCAGCAAACATCTGCGGAGTACAAAACACAACTTTTTAGCTAAAGCTAATGTTTTCCCTTGCACAAGATCACAACATCCTTTGTAACTAAATTTTCACTAAACATGGGTTTTAAATGTTTCCAGTATAATTTATTTGTGTATGTTTTAATGGAATGGGTGTGAAAACGTATCACAGATATGAAGTATTAATTAAAGCCTTAATTAATATAACTTGTACCTGCAACTCTTTACAATCACATTTGTGTCTTTATCATCTAAAAGAAATCAAAGTATAGATTATATATACACTCAAACTCAAGTATCCCACATCCAGACAAATTATATTTAAGAATTCAAGGGCAATATTATTAAAAATGAGCCATGAAGGTAAAAAGTTTTTATTGTAATGCAGTATCATTAGCAACTTCAAACAAAATTTCTCCACAATAAAAAATGCACTATTTTTTTGGAAATTGGATGTCATTTAAAAATAAAGGAGCAATATCCTAAAGAGCTATATGTAAATCATCATCCAATAATGTTTTAATTAAGATGACATACTAATTTTCAAATTATCAAGAATATCAAACTACATGTATTAATGGCTTCCGTTAACATCTGCATAAATTTCAATTGACATTATAAATGCCCACATATATCTTTGTTTATTGCACATTACGTAAATCTTGAGTGGGCACACGGAGAAGGCAACATAACTGTAAAATTGCATGCATGCAAGGGAAAATACAGACCAGTCACCCTAAAATAATTATTAAATATTTTTAATTGACCTGGTAAATTTTTACTGGCTGATGAAAAATAAATTGATGCAATATGTTTATCTGACCCACTGCAAGAATGCTCTACCTTAAATTCTGTACATATGAATATTACTTTTTCTTTTCTGGAAAGTGACTAGATTGTCTTGTTATGAGCCTACGGTTTCTCATTTTTGACACAGCCTCAGATACATCTACTTGTTTCTCAAAATAGGTGACCAATGGTTGTTCTGTAAGCAAAGAAGCAACCATCTGCTCAAAACTAATTGACCAATCTGAGTCTGGCTTAGAGTATGAGTTTCTGCTGTATGGTGAAGATCCTTCTTCAGGTTTTGTGGTTTCTGTTTGAGTGGAACATGTCTCATCCTTTTGAGGTTCCTTGCTTAAGTCAGATGAGCCCTTGGATTGGTCCAATTTAAGCTTTTCTACTTCATCTGTTAAACTATCCAGTCCTGTGGAACTGGTTTCTCCTGCACTGCTCTCTGACACAGATTTCTGGAGGTAGAATCTTTTACCAACTTCTCCCATTTCTAATAACAAAGTCCCTACAGATGCAATGGAATGATAAAGTTGTTGTTCTTGATCATTATCAGAAAAAAGATCATAGAGTGTTCTCCACATGTCAATAAACTGAGCCTGAAATAAATGAACAATTAATTATACATGTATCATTAATTACTGTATCATGTATCATTAATTACTGTATATTAACATTTTATATTTCTTTATATAAACAGTTATCACTTTTTTTTTTACCTCACATTATTAAATCATGACAGTGAACAAGAAGTTTAAGAATAAAGACACAAGGTCATATCATACCAAAGCACAGTATAAATGTCACAAGGCCTTTGAACCTCTATTCAAATAACATGTTTATACTGTTATCTTTCATTCTGTCATCAGACAAGTGTGATCAGCAATAAACTTATGTCAATGATGCCCTTGAGTACAGTACATGTAAAACAAATGGAAGTTTTACTGATGACCTTGTCCACTGTCTAAATTACCTGGATATATAAACTGGCATAGGGTTATAAAACTTTGACCTGGTTCACAGACTGACTTTGTGTTGTGGACTTAACCTTGCATACAAACTGATATTAGGTTGACAACCTTGACCTAATGCCTGGAGCACAGACTTACATTAGGTAGTTGACCTGGTACACAGACTGACGTTAGCTGAAAACCTTGACCCAGGGCACATTTAATATTTACATTAGGTAGTTAGCCTTGACCTGATACACAGACTGACATTGGCTGACAACCTTGACCCAGAGCACAGACTTTCATTAGGAAGGTAGCCTAGGCCTGGTATTATTAGTTACACAGTTTAGTAGTGACTGGGTACAGGATGATACATGTACCTGGTTAGTAAATTTTATTTATACATTCAGGTGTCTACAGTTTGTAAAATTGTATCTTCATGCTTTATCCCTCCCATACTGTAACAGTGCCTATTATGACATCAAAATGTGCTATGTAATATTGCTTTGTACCTGTTTCATGCAGTAATAACGTACAGACAGTTTTGAAGAATTTTAGTAAAGAGAGAAAACTGTTCCATAATGTATACTCCTTACTGACTTTAGTTAACGTTTAAATTGTCAACAGACACTTGGCAAGCCTTGTGTCTTTTGACAACTAAAAAGATTAAAGAACTCGAGTTGTTCAAAAGTGTTACAAAAGAACGATAACTCCATATTGACCATGTATTGATTTTCATGTGAGCATGTATAAGTATTAAACTCCCTTCATGTGACAGACCTCAATCAATCATAAGCCAAGATTTCAAAGAAAAATCATCAGAAGTGGAGTAAACAGACAGACACTGGCACTGACAACCTTGACCCTGTACACAAACATGCATTAGGTAGTTATCCTTGTCATGACTTAAAGCACAGACATACATTAGGTAGTTATCCATGACTTAAAGCACAGACATGTCTTGACTTAAAGCACAGACATACATTAGGTAGTTATCCTTGACCTAGAGCACAGACATGCACTAGGTAGTTATCCTTGACCTAGAGCACAGACATACATTAGGTAGTTATCCTTGACCTAGAGCACAGACATGCACTAGGTAGTTATCCTTCACCTAGAGCACAGACAAACATTGGGTAGTTATCCTTGACCTGGAGCATAGACAAACATTAGGTATCCTTGACCTAGAGCATAGACAGACATTAGGTAGTTATCCTTGACCTAAAACACAGACATACATTAGGTAGCACAGGCGCCTGAAGTGTGGATTGATAGCACCCCCCCCTTCAGTTTAATAAAAAAAAATGTAAGAGCTTATAATTTCTCAATAATATAAAATTTCCCCATCAATCACATCCATATGTTGTTCTATGCAAGCAGATTGTACCTTTTCTTAATTTTTAATTAAAAAAAAAAATGTAAGAGCTTATAATTTCGCAAAAATATAAAATTTCCCTATCAATCACATCCATATGTCATTCTATGCAAGCAGATTGTACCTTTTCTTACGTTTAGAGAATGGCCTTATACGGTATAATAAAAATACACAAGGTAAGAAACAAAATTTGTAAACAAACGGGGGTTCCCTGCTTTGAGCCATATTTCCAAGGTAATAACAGTGTTACCTATCATAGTTTTGCAAGCAGTTTTGCAAGCAATCTGTCAAGGCTTTATCTGATTGGTCAAAGATTTAAACTGTATCACTATTAACCAATTAGATAAAGCGAGACGGATGTGCGAACTCCAAAACTCCTTCAAAGCTGTCAATGGAGAAAATTTTATGTGTCTGATTAATAAATCGTCTGATTACGACATATAAAACACTAATGATGGGGTTTAGGTTAAAGAGATTGGTGGAAGAACATCTCCTTGACAGAGTGCTTGCAAAACTATGATAGGTATCACCGTTATTACCTTAGAAATATGTCTCGAAGCAGGGACACCCCCCCCCCCCGCCCCCCGTTTGTTTACAAATTTTGTTTCTTACCTTGTGTATTTTTATTATACCATATAAGGCCATTCTCTAAATGTAAGAAAAGGTACAATCTGCTTGCATATGGATGTGATTGATGGGGAAATTTTATATTTTTGAGAAATAATAAGCTCTTACATTTTTTTTTTAATTAAAAATGGGGGGGGGGGGTGCTATCAATCCACACTTCAGGTGCCTTTGTTAGGTAGTTATCCTTGACCTAGAGCACAGACATGCATTAGGTAGTTATCCTTGACCTAAAGCACAAACATTAGGTAGTTATCCTTGACCTAGAGCACAGACATGCATTAAGTAGTTATCCTTGACCTAGAGCACAGACAAACATTAGGTATCCTTGACCTAGAGTGGTAGTTATCCTTGACCTAGAGCGGTAGTTATCCTTGACCTAGAGCATAGACAAACATTAGGTCGTTAGCCTTGACCTAGATCATAGACTAACAGACTGACCTGAGACATTCTGGGGACATCCTTGAATTCTGCTTTGCTGTCACTTCTGTTTAGTTCTTTTTTCTTTGCATACATCTTCTTTAAATTTTCTTGAAGCTCTGCTTCTGAAAAAAGAACAGTAAATAAAAAACAGTCACGAAAAGTGTGTCAGAAGAAAATAAAGACCATTATAAGGTTTCCTAATCTGTTTCTGAATTCTGTTCTTAAAAAAACCATATAGATTTATGACATCATAATGATTATTGGTTGGTTACTTTTCCCTCTCTTGGTTTAAACTGATATATTTATATTCACTGAATATTATCTCCATTATTTCTCACTAAACAGTTTTTCAATCCACATAACTTAGGTGACCTAGGTAGATTTCTTGTGGAGTATACATGTGCTGTTCAATCAAAAATCATTCTATATCAATAATCTAACATTTAACATACTTAAACCTACTTTATATAATTATTTATACAGACATAAATATAAACAATAAAATATCTCTTGTTTGTTTGTTACATGCAGTACGTAATACACATAATATTTAGGGGATTTCCCCCCAATAATAAAAGTACACATACACATCAAGGTTTCAAAACCTCTCTATGTTTAATATAACGTATGAAAGTTAAGTATGTGTAATAATTTTATGACATGCAAATGTTCAAAATAATGATTCTTTATTAGTATTTTTTTTTATATGTACCAATGAGTGTGCGATGAAAAATAATTTCATACTGTGGAAAATGGAACTTGCTTATCATAATATACTGTTTTGGCTGTAATTTAATAATCAAAGCTTTGTAACTCAAAATCAGGCCTAAAAAAGATTTATTTTCATCGCAAGATTTTATCAGTAATTATTTTTCATTGCTGTTTTTCCACTTTTTAAACCAACCTTTCTTGACTGTGCCTCCCTCTATAGACTTCTGTATAATATCTAATCCCTCATCACCTGAGGGTCCACTCCCTATAATCTGTGATCCACCATTCCCTGCTCCCTGTGTGTCAGTCTTACTGCTGTCTGTTTCCAAGCTTGCAGCCTCTGACTGGGTTTTTTCTTCTGCACTGGTATCTGCTTCTAATTTTTCCTTTTTTTCCTCATCTATTTCTTCCACAATAGGATCTCCGGGTAGAATTATTTCTGTAGAAAAATATTAAGCCATTATTCTCACTGAAAACTAATGAAACATTCAAAGTAAACCAAAAAATATGCAAATACATATAATGAGACATGTAATATGAGTTTTTTACACCAATCTTTGATATTAGGAAAAAAAGACCTTAGCCATATTGCACAATACAGAATTGGCATATTACTGTATCTATTTTTATGCTTTTATTTTTATGTAAATGATAAAAATAAATATACATGTATAATATATTTTATACAATTCAATGATTTACAGCTACTTCATTGGCTGCATGAATTAAATTCCACATTCTTGAAATTTGAAATAATAAAAAACATTATGTTCATGTACCTGAATCTAACCCTAAATGTCGATCAATATAACATTTTTTTTCTACATTAGACCCAAAAAAAGATCAAAAACTTCCAAACTGATTCCATTGGTTATATTAAGCCATAAAAAATTAATAGTTTCTCAGGCCAAAAATTTCAAAATTCAATGCGGCAGGTAGATTCTTTCTTTTTCTTTTTTGAAGCAGATGTTATACCTTTTTTCAAGTCCGTCGTTCAACAAAATGATGATATCAACTGATTCTTACTTTTTTTTGTTCTCTCATTAATTATAATATGCATTCAACTTTAAATAATGTTATTCCAAACAAAGTTGATTCATAAAATACTGTAGTAAAAAGAAATGTATTGTTTATCTGATAAAAACGTCTACCTATTAGCATTAATGAAAAGGGGAATAACTCAATTTTCTTTTTCAACTTCGAAAAATAGAAAATTGAGTTATTTCCCTTTTCAATATGTCAATAAAATTGATCAATGCGGTAGTGTTTGACCTGATGCGGCGGTGCCTGAGAAACTATTGATTAATTTTTTTGGCCTTAATATTTGTCATCCAATGAAATTCTATGAGTCTTGCTGTGTTCAGACCCCCCACCCTGAATATACACACTGGGTCCTAGGATATTTTTAGTCGGGTTTCCTGTCCACAAGCACCTGTGCTCCTGTGATAATGTATATCTCTTTTTAGCACTAACCATCTTGTAGTGCATCAACTGAGCTGGCATCACTGTCAAAGAAATCTGTAGCCTCCACAGCATTCTCTGGGCTCTCTGTAATACAACATCTTGTTTCAATACTGTAAAATAAAAATTCCTATTCCTTAATCAACTTAAGATATACCTATTAGATGTAAATCTAGGGACAGCAAATATTGTATTGATTTCTTATCTAACTTGTGTACAGCATATGGCCATAAGGTAGTCATCATTTACTTTTTCACCAAATGTTTCAATGAACTAGAAATATGTCCATAGGACATGAATGCCCCGCCGAGGGTACATTAGTAATGCAACATTTTAACACAAATTGAGAAAAGTGAGGTCAAGGTCAAAGGAAAGGTCAAGGTGAAAAAATATTGATGCAGTTGAATAGCTTACATTAGTATGTATCAGCATAGGAAGTTTGATACAAATTTAAGAAAAGTGAGGTCAAGGTCAAATGAAAGGTCAAGGTAAAAAAAAAAATGTTTATGCAGTTGAAAAGTTACATCGGTATGTATTAGCATATGAAGTTTGATAAAAATATTATGAATGGTTTTAAAACTAAGCTAAACACTAATTAAAGAAAAGTGAGGTCAGGGTCAAAGGAAATGTCAAAGTCAAAAAATATTGATGCAGTTGAATAGCTTACATTAGTATGTATCAGCATATGAAGTTTGACACAAATTTAAGAAAAGTGAGGTCAAGGTCAAATAAAAGGTCAAGGTAAAAAAAAAATTGTTTATGCAGTTGAAAGGTTACATTGGTATGTATTAGCATATGAAGTTTGATAAAAATATTATGAATGGTTTTAAAACTAAGCTAAACACTAATTAAATAAAAGTGAGGTCAAGGTCAAAGGAAAGGTCAAAGTCAAAAAATGTTGATGCAGTTGAATAGCTCTCATCAGTATGTATCAGCATATGAAGTTTGTTAAAAATATCTTGAATGGTTTCATTAAAACTGAGCTAAACACTAATTTAAGAAAAGTGGGGTCAAGGTCAAAAAATGTTGATGCAGTTGAATTACATCAATATGTATCAACATATGAAGTTTGATTACACTATCTTGAATGGTATCTTTAAAACTGAGCTAAACACTAATTTAAGAAAAGTGAGGTCAAGGTGTCAAACGAAAGGTCAAGGTCAAACAAGAGGCCCATGGGCCTTGAATCGCTCTTCTGATAAACTGTACAACCTATCACTTCTATTTGAAGCCTCGAAGTATCCTGTATATTTAGATAAACCCTTGAAATTCCAATTCACACTCTGAGAACTCAAGATGATTCTAAGCCAATTAGTACCTGAGAGTTGGTCATGGTGACCTACTTATCACTTGTCATTCTCTGAGGACCCATCAACTAAGTTTGATGATTCTAAGCCAATTAATACCTAAAATATTTTTTTAAATTATAACCATAAAATTTTATAAGTAGGTCAAAGTGACCTACTTTTCAATTGTTTTACTCCAAGGACCCAAGATGCATCAACTGACAAAGTTTGATGATTCTAAGCCAATTAGTACCTGTAATATTTAATTAAAGCCATAAATTTTCAAAAGTAGGTCACCGTGACCTACTTTTCAGTTCCTGTACTCCGAGGACCAAAGATACATAGACTGACAAAGTTTGATGATTCTAGCCAATAAGTACCCAAAATATTTAATTACAGCCATAAATTTTCAAAAGTAGGTCACGGTGACCTACTTTTCAGTCAACCTACTCCGAGGACCAAAGATGCATCAACTGACAAATTTTGATGATTCTAAGCCAAATAATTCCTAAAAATATTAAATACAGCCATAAAATTTCAAAAGTAGGTCACCGTGACTTACTTTTCAGTTGTTGTACTCCGAAGACCCAAGACGCATCAACTGACAAAGTTTAATGATTCTAAGCCAATTAGTACCCGAAATATTTGATTAAAGCCATAAATTTTCAAAAGTAGGTCACTGTGACCTACTTTTCAGTTGTTGTACTCTGAGGACCCATGATGCATAAACTGACAAAGTTTATTGATTCTAAGCCAATTAGTACCCGAAATATTTTATTAAAGCCATAAATTTTCTGAAAGTAGGTCACAGTGACCTACTTTTTAGTCGACCTACTCCGAAGACCCATGACGCATCAACTAAGTTTGATGATTCTAAGCCAATTAGTACCCGAAATATTTAATTAAAGCCATAAATTTTCAAAAGTAGGTCACGGTGACCTACTTTTTAGTCGACCTACTCTGAAGACCCAAGATGCATCAACTGACAAAGTTTGATGATTCTAAGCCAATTAGTACCCAAAATATTTAATTAACGCCATAAATTTTCAAAAGTAGGTCACTGTGACCTACTTTTTAGTCGACCTACTCCGAAGACCCAAGATGCATCAACTGACAAAGTTTGATGATTCTAAGCCAATTAGTACCTGAAATATTTAATTATAGTCATATAAATTGAAAAGTAGGTCACGGTGACCTACTTTTCAGTTGACCTTTTTTGAGGACCCAAGATGCATCAACTTACAAAGCTTTATGATCATAGGACTTAAAATGTCCAAATTATGCCTCTAAAACGCTTTGAAATCGAATGCCTGCAAAGTTCAAAAAGTAGGTCACTGTGACCTACTTTTTAATAAATATGTTTTATGGCTCCAAGATGCATCATCTTACAAGATTTAATGATTCTAAGCCTCCCCATATTCGAATTAATGACCTTAATTGTTTTAAAAAAGATTAGCCATAAAATTCAAAAAGTAGGTCAAGGTGACCTACTTTTTAGTTGACGTACTTTGAGGATCCAAGATGCATCAACTGACAAAGTTTGATGATCATATGCCTTAAATTGTTCAAAATATGCCTCTAAATCATTTTGAAAAAGAATGGCCGCAAAATTTAAAAAGTAGGTCACCCTGACCTACTTTTGAGTCAACATGATATGAGGTCCTTAGATGCACCAACTGACAAGATTTGATGATCCTAGTCCTTATAGTAAGCAAAATATCAACATTTTAATAAAATGTAATTTTTGGTCAACTTTGAAGTGACCTTGAGACCACGCCCTTTGCCCCAGGGTAAATCCCCGTGCAAATTTTAATCTACAACATATCCTCATCCTTTTGTGTAAGTTTGGTGATAATCTGCCCACTGGTTCTTGAGAAGAAGATTTTTTAGCAACCGGTACTTTTGTTTCTATTTTCCTAATTATCTCCCCTTGTTAAAGGGTCACAACCCCAGTTTTAGTATAAAAGGGAGCCCTTGGGCCAAGGATACCCTGTGACAAATTTGACAATAATTGGCCAAGGGGTTCTTGAGTTATGGCCCATATTCTAAAAACTTTACGCACACCGCACAAATGGCCATAGCATTAGCTCTTTGAGCCTTTGGCTCAGAAGAGCTAAAAATGTTGATGCAGTTGAATAGCTCTCATCAGTATGTATCAGCATATGAAGTTTGATACTAATTTAAGAAAAGTGAGGTCAAGGTCAAAGGAAAGGTCAAGGTAAAAAATATTGATGCAGTTGAATAGCTCTCATCAGTATGTATCAGCATATGAAGTTTGTTAAAAATATCTTGAATGGTTTCATTAAAACTGAGCTAAACACTAATTTAAGAAAAGTGGGGTCAAGGTCAAAAGAAAGGTCAAGGTCAAAAAATGTTGATGCAGTTGAATAACTTACATCAGTATGTGTCAACATATGAAGTTTGATTACACTATCTTGAATGGTATCTTTAAAACTGAGCTAAACACTAATTTAAGAAAAGTGAGGTCAAGGTCAAAAGAAAGGTCAAGGTCAAAAAATGTTGATGCAGTTGAATAGCTCTCATCAGTATGTATCAGCATATGAAGTTTGATAACACTATCTTGAATGGTATCTTTAAAACTGAGCTAAACATTAATTTAAGAAAGTGAGGTCAAGGTCAAAGGAAAGGTCAAGGTCAAAAAATGTTGATGCAGTTACATAGCTCTCATCAATATCTATCAGCATATGAAGTTTGATAAAAATATCTTGGATAGTTTCTTTGAAACTGAGCTTTGAACAGAGCTAAACGCAAAGTGTGAGGGAAGGACAGATGGAAGGACGGAAGACGGACATGACAAACACTATATGCCCCGGCAATATTCATGGCGGGGCATAAAAATGATTTTTATAAAAACTCATTTTCTGGTAAATTTGGCCTAATTTTCTTAATTTTTATGCCCTCATAATCAACAATTCAGAGGCACTTAGTTTTTTCTATAAAGCCATCTGTTCACAAGTTTGTCTAATCAAACTTTAACATTGCCCATAACTTTTGAATGATTGGAGCTAAGGCTTTCATATTTCTCATGTGTATTCCTTGTGACAATTAAAACCTTTTTTGAGTACTAACATATTTTACCTTTTGACCTTGACCTACTTCTAAAAAAATTAACATTAATCATAACTTTTGAGAGGTTGGTACTAATGTTTTCATATTTCAAATTTTTATTTCTTGTTGGGTACCAACATTTTTGACCTTGACCTTTGACTTTGATCTATTTTGGAATAACTTTAACCTTGGCCATAACTTTTGAATGGTTGGTGCTATGACTTTCATATTTTACGTGTATTCCTTTTGACAATTAATACCTTCCCTTGGATACCAACATTTGTGACCTCTTGACCTTGAAGTCTGACCTACTTTTGAAAAACTTTAACCTTGGACATAACTTTTGATTGGTCGGTGCTATGGCTGTGATATTTCAAATGTGTATTCCTTGTGACAAGATCTTTCTTTGGGTCCAACATTTTTGACCTTTTGACCTTGGAGTGTGACTTGCATTTGAAAATTTTTAACCTTGATCATAGCTGTCATACAGGGGCATCAATTTTTCATTTACTTATGCAATTTTGTTAATATTTTCTTAAGAATGCTGAGCAAAATTGTGATAAATTGATCACTGAGAAAAAATTATGAAATTATCAAATAAAAATTTCTAACCTAAAAATACTGTTAATTCTTAACAAATTTTGCTGTAAAATTTTAATTTTGCATTTGATGTATAATAACATCTAAAGATAAAACTATTTTGAAATTAAAGCACAAATATATAAATTCATTTAAAATCCACAAATTACCCAGTAAGTTGACTTTATCTCTAAAACATACTATTACATGCTACAATATCACTTCACTATTGAAATCTTTCACAAAAAACTTTCCCTTTTCTGACGTTGTGCATAACAATTACTGCTCTTCGAATTTCAAAAATGTTCTAGAATAAAATTGGTTAAGAGATTTTTGCCTCATGAAGTTTATTACACATGCATTAATTGGTTACCTGTTTTTGAACTAGCTGGAGACACTGGGGGTGAAGTAGGCATGCTCTCCAATTCATCGGGAGGTAACTGGTGCAAAAGATAGAGCAGCTTCAGCTTCTGAGTTATGTCCCCTTTACATATAACACCAAGAACATACACAAATTCCCTGAAGTTTATCATGTTGTCTTTATTATCATCCAGAAACTAAAATGCAAAAAATAAATAAATAAATAAATTAAAAAAAAAATTTTTTTAAAGGAATAAATGCCATAAGGTATAAACATATGATAACTTGTACTGATTCACTGCCAAACTTCATTTTAAATTTAGACATGAAGAGGTTAATACAAAAAAAAATTAAATTAACAAAAAAATATCTAATCAGTAAACCCCACCAGTCTATCTACCAAATGATAATGGTATGATAGGGAAGTAATTTGACACTATTTTAAATAATGAACTTTAAAACACATTTGGTTTGGTGACAGTTTGTATCTAAAATGTCAAAGGAACTAAGTCATTTTTGGTTTAATTCACAATGTTCAGTAAAGAGGTACCAAACAGTCATGAATTAAAACACTTGTCATAATATCTAAAGAGCTAGGTTCACTTTATGCATAAAATGGCCCTGTCCTTATATCAATTAATTGACTATCACCCTCTGTCCCATTTCATATATCAAAATAAAGTAGAGACATAGTGCTTTCATTTCCTATAACAAAATTTCTTTTTGAGAATCCGGGTATTGGAAAACAATCTTTGAGAAAACGCAATGTTATTGAAATTTGCAGAAAACATGCGTATTTGACTACCTTCAGCAAAGAATTAAAATATGAGCACAGCCCACGATCCAAAAATTAAAACATGTTTTGTGATCTTTAGAAATAGATCTTTCATTATGTAATTGCATATTTTGGATCAGAGGTTGTGCTCTATATGAAATATTGAAAAAATACCTCAACTTTTGGCCATTTTTAAGGGAATTTACAGGATATGAGAAAAATGACGCAATTTATGACGTCATAATGCATTGACTTGAGAGAAAATTACGTCATGTTCAATAGATACATGGTCAACAAGGATCCAAGTTATAAATACTGCATTTTCAACCAAAATTGAGCAGTTTAGATTTTTCAGAGATTCTCAGGGCTAAAAAAGGCCGTAAGTGGCTCTTGCTCTTTCTTAGGATTTTCAAAAACATCAGCTAGATCAATTCGTTAAGGGCAAGTTTTCCATTCTGAAATTTTTTCATCTGCAAGTTGTTGAGAGTAATAAAAAACAGGGCCCTTAATCTATACCTTGTGTTTTATACAAACATTCAGAGTAGGGGTGCAACGATACACTAACCTCACGATACGATACGTATCACGGTATTCAGTTCACGATACGATACGTATCACGATACATGACAAGGTTAAAAGTCTTTCAAGTTTGTCATCATATTTTTTAAAACTTGACAGGGTTATACAAAATATTCATATTTTTTAATAATAATTAAAATAACATTTTGTTAACTTGAATTGGATTGTTAGGTAGATCTTTGAGTTGTGACAACATTCTAAACCAATGATGAACATTTACAGGGAACTACGGGGACCTCTCCTAATAATCTTCCTTTTAAATTGGAATGAAAAAGGAAGACATTCATTCTTTTATTCCTTTTATTTACGTAGAAAACCAGTTGTCATATTTCTTGTGTTAATACGTTTTAGTCAACAAGACAGCGAATTTTCATCGAAATACACACCTGATGGAATATCGTGTATTACCAAAGAATACCTTTAAAGATCTAAAGGGTTTATCATTTGTCTTAATAGAGGGCGGAGCCCTCTCACGGGCCCGAAGGGCCCGTGAGAGCGAAGCTCTCCCTATAGGTAACACGTATGTATGTAAAATATATTGAATTCTATTGTAAACTATATTTTTATTACAATACCTATGGAACTGAGAACCTTGTCGCCAATATGGTGTCCATAGTCTTTTCCATCTTGAATCTCGCGACGAATTCCCGCATAGACGAGATGCTGGAGAATCGTAATTTTAATTCCAATCCTGCTTTAATGAAGTTTTATCAATTCTAATAATCAAAAACACCCTTATAGTACACATCTTTGTTACTTTCGTTTTCAACTAACTTGCATTCGATCGTCATATACCTGACATGTGACGTCATTCATTACTGAATCAGCGGAAACTGTTGAATTTTTAACAAACTGTAATAATTGATATTTCATATGCGTACTCTATTTTTAAAGAAAGATTTATTCAACTTTTAATAAACCTTACTAGAGTCTATGTTTTTGGTGAAACAAAAAAACTCAGTTCAAGGAATTCCAGTGACGTCACTGTCTAGCCTGCGTACTACGCACTATGGAGGGGCGGATCTTTCTGTGGCCCCTTTTACCAGACTTTATGGAAAAGAAACAACTGTAATTTATTTGTTGATAAATTTATTAATTACGAATGTTTTTAGGATTATTTTCAATACACAAACTAGAAATATAAGATTTTTTTGTGACATAGTATGATTTTCCTCTTGAATAATACATTTAAAAAAATGTTTTAGTGGTAAAATATTGCTTGAAAAGCTTTATTGAATTCTGGTATGAACTCAAGAAGGGGGGAAGGGGTATGCATTTTAATTCTTTTAAATTTTATTTTTATTATTTATTTATGTATTCATTCATTCATTCATTCTTGTCTTTGATTATCTGCTTGTTCCTATATATGTTTGCAAGTGGAGGCCTGTGTCTCATTTTTGTTGTTGTGATTTTTTTTCTCAAAAGTTTTACCATTTTTTTTAAGTGTCAAATTTCAGTTTCTTGAAATTCACCATCAAAAGAAAAATCTTCGGACATGTCTGAAGCTCAAACTACCACATCAAACACATGTTCCATTTATACATGTGGATACCCTTCAACGGATAAAGTAAAATGATTTCTAATTTTTATTTTAAAAAGTACTTTTAAAAATATAGAACAGAAAATTTATTCAGCCATTTGGAACCCATGGTGGATTATGATAGTGTATAAAGTCCAAAATCATATGAGGAAATCTAAGTTAAACAATACATGAGGAACTGCAACACACATGACATGTATAAAATAAAGTTTAATGTTCTCTTTATTAAAAAAAACCCCGCAAATACAGAAGTTGGATCTTAATTTGACATTACCCATGGTAATCCATGTAAAGACTTAGAGGTCAATGTTGTTGATTAGAACTGACTAAAATATTTTTTTAAGCTTCCATATATGATCCTTTTTATTAATCATGTGGTGGATAGGGATGTCACAAAACATCAATTACTGATGCGGGGGGGGGGGGGTCGATACAACGATACATATTCTATTCGATACTTCCCTGAAATGTACCCTATTATTCACAAGTTTGGGTTTTAAAATTCTAATAGTTTTGGCATAAACAATTTAATATCTGGAAAAAACTTTTATTGAGTTAAATTTGTTTTTCCAGATATTAAAAAGAAAAGATTTTTACCTTGCTCATATATGTTAGTTTTGAAAGCACTAAAGCCTATTCGAATCAGATAAGTTTTTTAAAAAATTCAGAAACGTTAAATTTACTCTACATTTTTTTCATTAAAATTAAGAAAATAATTCTCAGAAATTTTGCGATGCTGATACTTTTAGCCCTCACGATACACAGCCCTAGTGTTGGTCAGATGATCAGTTTCCAAGTTTCCTGATAATCCAGGAATTAGATCATCTTTCTGTAGTTTGGGTCCAAAGTTCGACTTCCGATGTAGTCCCTGACAATTGTCCTTATTTGTATTTGATGTCATGACCATTCATTGGAAGTAAAAGATGAGATTTAAATGACTTGATGTTTCTGGATTGAGGTTTTTAAATTAAGTCGTGAAAGATAAAGAAATGATGCTCATGCATGCAAGTTCACGTATTAATTGTTGCACAGATACATAGATAAAAGAGTTAACGTTTAAGAGTTCTTGGGCCTTGCACGGCCTTGGTCGGTTGAATCCTTGACTGGTCCAGCGCACGCTCTTTCCCCGTTATGCTATTTGATTTTGAGTGCACTGGCAAGGCGATTCATGATGAAATATCTTAGTAAAAGTTTTCCAGATTTATAAAACCAAATACCCTTAAATTTCTTTATTTGAAATGAAAAATATTTGAGGTAAGAGAACTTACAGCTGAGCTCTTTGTTATGATTTTCTGACACAACTTGATTTTAAAACTGATTTATCATTGAACAATAAAATGTAGAAATGTTCCCTTGATGGCTCCGCCCTCACCAACGGTCACACCGTCTAACATATTATCTATAACTTATAATCACAATAAGTCCTTCTCCATGTTAATTCTGAGGTCTGTAAGATGCTGGAGATGAGTTAAACTGCCATAAATGCGTTATCGGCGACCTCACGTTTTGGGCGGAAGCCATTTTGAAATAGTAAAGAAGGAAATAAAACGGACAAAACGGATAATTCTGGACCGATTGAACCGAACCGCGATATCAGTTTAGCGTATCGTGAATTGAACCGTGGAAAAATATACCGTGATATACCGTCACACGGTTTATCGTTGCACCCTTAATTCAGAGTAATTGAACTGATCCAATTCTAAATCTGGTTGATATTTTAATCATACACAAGTCATCAATCTGATGATCTATAGCTATTAGTATTGTTTTTTATAAGAGACAGCTAACCAAAGACTGTGAGACTCATCTCGAAAATATGGGACACATGCACTATCCAGGAAGATACTGGTTGGTTAGTTGGTTGTTTGCTTTATGTTCTTCTTTTATGGCCATTGAGCAGTGAGGGATCTATTTTGTGCCAGTATCTACTGCTTCATGGGACCTTAGAGTTTATACAGTCTCCTTGGAAGGACAACCGATACTGGAAAAGAATGGGAACACACCAAATTTATGGGAATCCCTGGCAATAAGTTACCTTAAATGTCCTGAGAGCTAGATGCCCTGCTCTTTGTCCAGAGGCCCAGGGAGAAAGAGATAGGTACATGGTTTTGAACTGCTCAAAATCCACTTTGTACATCTCATAGTATGGTCGGGAGGGATCAAATTTGTCTCCCATGTCAGCTGGCTGTTGACTAGTCCTCCAGTAACAAGAGGTCAAATACTCCTCCTACAAACAAAGAAGGCCTATGAGCCTTAAATTGACAGTCAGGCAAGTCCTAAAGGGGGAGGGGGCAATTACAAAAGTGGATTTTTTTTCTTTCTTTTTGAATATTTCTACATGTTACAACCACCTTAACTAATTAATCTCTCATACAGAAAGAACTTTGGCTTTATATCTAATCATTTAGAAAAGGTTGACTTAGTGCAGTTTTTTAATATGACCAAAACCCTTCGTGTCTTAATTTTAAACCCTGGGTAACTAATTTCAGTAGCGTTAATTAGTATTTAGCTCATATATATTTAATAAATCAGATTCAAAGAATTAATTTGCATGTTTCATGTGATTCATTTTTAGGTGTAGGGACGTATCACTCAATTGAGTCACTATGGCCCTGCTATTCTTTCCTCAAACCCCCCATATATTCCCATGTAAAATGTTGATCACTTATTGTGGCCCCACCCTATACCAGAAGTCATGATTTGAATAAACATCAATCTACACTACCTGAGGATGCTTCCATATTAATATGACAAACCATGGCTTTGTTGTTCTAGAAAAGATTTATTTTTTTCTTATATATTCCCATGTAAAAAATTGATAGCCCATTGTGGCCCCACCCTACCTTTAGCAATCATGATTTAAACAAACTTGAATCTACACTACCTGAAGATGCTTCCATATAAATATGACAAACCATGACTTTGTTGTTTTTGTTGAGATTAAAAAAAAAATCTTATACATTCCATGATTCTTGATATTAAGAAATCATGTGAAAAATATGTTTCAAACAATAATTGCTGAAAATGTAACAATCAACATAATGATGAAGTGAAATTTGAAGCTTATTTAAAGGCCTGCTTGGGCACAATTTTCAAGATTCATGTTAAGTCAAATTGAACTGAGCTAGATAATGGATTAATCATTAATACAAAATATAATCCAAATCAGAACACATGCATTCATATCTTCTTATTTGCCATTAGACCCCTGACTTATAACTTCATATATTTAATGGCTTGACTGCAGTGCGATGTCTTTTGGGGAAATTACAAATCTGGATTGTTTTTCTTATCTCTTAAGCCTTTCGGTGATAAACAACTTATAATATTTTATTACATTCTCTGTCTACGAAAGAAAGCTTCAATTTGATTATTGCTTCTCAATGAGAGCAGCAAGCTCCCCCCCCCCCCCCCAAAAAAAAAACAAACAAAAAAACAAATGAAGTTAAGACAGGGGTCAAACAGCAATGTACTGATTCAGCTAGGCCACCATGACATTGTGAGGATGCCCATAGGTCAAATTAAAAACATACATAATTATATATTACCAACCTTAAACAACATGTAACTATTTGTATTAATATAAGATAGCCAAAATTGTTTGTCATTGCTTTGATAATTATAATGAGTACATCACATTTTCTCTAAACTGGGCAAAATCATTGTCTAATTAATGCCTCACTGAATCACTCACTTAACATACGAGGGGTTATCAAAAAGTTCGTGGACTAGCGTCATAAAATTAAAACCGCTTTAGGTACATCAATGAATTTTTACACATTTAGTTAGCATCATCTTTTCTATCTATGGAATAAACCATAAATCATAATTTTTACTTTTTAATAAAATGTTAGTGTTTTTGTAAGCAGAAGTATGTCCAGGCAGCGCAACCTCTAATATGACGTTTTTTTCTACCTGAGTGTAACTGAGAAAAACTCTTTAGATATGAGTATTTGTCATCAAAAAATTTCGTTAATTCAGGCATGTGGTACGACACATTTGTTCAGTAAAATTTGCAATTTTTACCCCATTCTGTAATTTCTATGAAATTTTATCGTAAATTTTATATGGAGTGTCCAAACAATTATGGGCTTGAAAATAACGTCAAAAGGGGGGAGGGGTTTCTTTTTCAAACACTCTATAGAGTTTCGGTCCTGGAAAAACTGGTATTGACCTAAAGAATGTTTAAACTGGCTACAGAAAAATAAAATGCATCCAGAGTACTTGTTTTTTAATGCCCAAAAGATTCAGAGAGATGAAATATGCACAGTTAGTGTCGATTTGTAGTCAGGGTGTCAAAAATCAGTCACGTCGAAAAGTGACGTTGATCATGTGTGGTAGAAATTGAACTCCAACAAGCTTAAGTATTCTGGCATAATCAAGTGAGGATCTTTCCCCATATAAAGATCCATTTACAATATTATATGCATTGAAAACAGCTGCTCATGACATTGTAAATTCATATAAATAAGACGGGTTTAAGTCCTTACTTAACTCCAGGTAATCTCATCAAGATAAGTGTATGAGGTAGAGAGAGGGGACATTAAGAAACAATGACGTTAAGCGGACGTCATGACACTAAACGGCGACAGCGCCGGGTGATCACATAAAGTCTTTTTAATTTTAGAATAATTTGGCAAATTATCAACTTATTAAGCTAAAATTTTCAACATTTCTTAAACTTTTGTTGTTTTATGTTCCGCATAAATTTTGTAAGCAAAGACTACATATTATTAATTTTATCGCGTCAGTCCACGAACTTTTTGATAACCCCTCGTATATTCATCATCCAATGATACTATTTCCAATCTAGGTGAAATATATACACTAATTTTGTATAATTATGTCAAAAACATGAATTCAAACAAGTATAAATTAGGTGAGAAACACACTTTTTTTTTAAATACAATTGTATTTCTGAAATTTATCTCATCAGAAAAGAATTAATAAATATTTTAATTTCAATCCCTTTATCACTTTCTATCTATCATGACAATGTATATATCAAATTATCAAAGTTGTTTGAATATAAGAACCTGGTCAAACAAGGTACAGGTCCAATTTTTGAAAATATCAAGATCACTACTTGATCACTGAAATAAAAACAACGCTCATGGGCCACAATGCTCACTTGAGTCATACTCATATGAAGACCATGTTGATTTAAAAAAATAAAATTTTTGAATGTCAATCCACTCTAATTTTACATTTTTCAATGATTGTCTCTAGGCCTACAAAGAAACCTGACAGCCTTTACTTAAAAACCTTTAATTCAACTGAACTAATACTACATCCCACTTTAAGCTGCAATTTTTTCAGTGGTTCAAAGGGTAAGCTATGAGATAACCTATGGCAGTAGGATGTAAGCCCAGTATACCATCATCAGATAAGTTCATTTAAACATCTGACTAAGTTGAATCACAAGGAAAGTAATTTAAGAAATACCCGAAATTAATTAATAATGAATATTTAAGTTTGTGTCTTACTGCACATACATCCAGTAATACGTTTGTCACATTATTAAATTAGCACCTAGAAAGCTCTTAATTATTTTGTTTATTAACAAGCGCATGTAAAAGTTAAGTGAATTCTATTGTGTCAATTTACATCTGAATCTTATCATTACATAGGAAGCCAATGGGCCACAAAGCTCACCTGAGAACCTTTGGTCATGCTAATGATCATCAGTCTTTTAGATTATTCCCTCTTTATCATGCTTTATTCCCATGAAAATCTGACAAATTTTTGCCTTATCCTATCCACAAAGGGCTATGAGTTCATCAAAATTGAATCTATACACTAATCTATGAATACTCCATCATTATTAATACAACTAGCATGACCATGCTGTTCTGGATAAGATATTTTGAAAGATTTTTCCTGCATATGTGCATAGAAAAATTTAATCCTAACTTGTTTTTTTTGCCTCAACCTACCCCAGAGTTCACATTTTGAAGAAAAAATTGAATCTGCATGTATCAAATTCAGGTGTTTGCAGGTTCATACAATTTAGTATGGCTCTGCTAATCTTGAAAAGATTTATCTTTTAAGGACATACGCAACATAGTTTGAACTTAATTGTCTTTTTCCCTGGAGTTGAAGAGTTCCAATACTTAAAGGAACTGTGTGCTACATTTTAATGTCTATATATGCTGCTGTACACCTCTTCCAAAACAAGTTTTCATAAACAAAACATGTAGAATATATGTATAGTAATTTCTGTACATTTTTCTTTGAATAACACATGTACAAGAATTTTCCTCAACTGATATCTTTTCAAAACCCCTGGTAATGCATGCTGATTTTTGTCTACGAACATCTGATGACATTATAATCTTAAATTAAGAATATCTTGAAAAATTATCAGTAGGTAAGAAACGTTGTGTATGTCCATAAAGAACTATATATTATTGAAACATATTTTTGCCCCATAAAATCCAAATTTTGAAAAATCTCTAGAAATGTACACAATTGTATATTTTGTATGAACAAATGGCCATAGCATTAGCTCTTTGAGCCTTTGGCTCAGAAGAGATTAAAATCTGAATGAACAAAAAATTATAGTTTGGAAAAAGATTATTATATATATATATTTTATATATATACATTATATATATTTTATATTATATATTATTATATATATATTTTTTGTCTTGGCATTTAGGACAATTTTTATGCTCATAATAAAATAAGTGACGATAACAAACAGTGATTGATCTCAATAAACCTACAAATGATACAAATCTGTAAACAGGGTATTAAAACATGGACTCCTGGAAATTCCAGAGGTGGGTTTAGGTACATGCCAAGCATCCCCTGTCCACAATTATAAACCTGATAATTTGAGCAAATGATACCTTTATAAGCTAGTACTAGTAAATACAACTATGAAATTTGGTATTGAGAACATTCCTTTGTTAGATGTTTGAACCATGTACTTATGCCATTTATAACAGTGTATATATCACATTTACCTTGAACAGAATAAACAGGTCCTCCAGTTCCTTGTCTTTGAACAACGTGTGGGTTTGAACACTTCTCAACACATTTTTCTTTGTGCTGTCCTCAATATGCTGAAAAATAATGAGGAGTGCAGGATATCAACCCTTACATTACACATAAAATACTGAGGAATACAGTACGTCTTAACCCTTACGTCACACATAAAACACTGAGGAGTACAGTATGTCAACCCTTACATCACATAAAATACTGAGGAGTACAGTATGTCAACCCTTACATCACACATAAAATACTGAGGAGTACAATATGTCAACCCTTACATCACACATAAAATACTGAGGAGTACAGTATGTCAACCCTTACATCAAACATAAATTACTGAGGAATACAGCATGTCAACCCTTACATCACACATAAAATACTGAGGAGTACAGTATGTCAACCCTTACATCACACATAAAATACTGAGGAGTGCAATATGTCAACCCTTACATCACACATAAAATACTGAGGAGTACAATATGTCAACCCTTACATCACACATAAAATACTGAGGAGTACAGTATGTCAACCCTTACATCACACATAAAATACTGAGGAATACAGTATGTTAACCCTTACATCACACGTAAATTACTGAGGAATACAGCATGTCAACCCTTACATCACACATAAACACTGAGGAGTAAAGTATGTCTTAACCCTTACATCACACATAAAGTACTGAGGAGTACAATATGTCAACCCTTACATCACACATAAAATACTGAGGAGTACAGTATGTCAACCCTCACATCACACATAAAATACTGAGGAGTACAGTATGTCAACCCTTACATCACACATAAAATACTGAGGAGTACAATATGTCAACCCTTACATCACACATAAAATACTGAGGAGTACAATATGTCAACCCTTACATCACACATAAAATACTGAGGAGTACAGTATGTCAACCCTTACATCACACATAAAATACTGAGGAATACAGTATGTTAACCCTTACGTCACACATAAAATACGAGAAGCACAGTATGTCAATTAACCCTTATATCACACATAAAATACTGAGGAGTAGTTTGTCAACCCTTACTTTACACATAAAATGCTGAGGAGTCCAGTATGTCAACCCTTATATTACAAAAAATACACACACAAAAAATACTGAGATATACATTATGTCAACCCTTACATCACACACTGAGGACTACAGTATGTCAACCCTTTTATCGACATAAAATATTTAGGAGTACAGTGTATCAACCTTTACATTACACATATCAAAATATTGAGGAGTACAGTTTGTCAACCCTTAGATAACACAATAGTCATACAAGAGGCCCAAGGGCCTTGAATAGCTCTTCAGATAAATTGTATAACCTAGCTATCACTCCTTTTTGAAGCCTCTAAGTATCCTATTTATTTAGACACTCCAAAAGTAGGTCATCATGACCTATATTTTGGTTAAAATACTCTGAGAACCCAAGATGCATCAACTGACAAAGTTTGATGATTTGAAGCCCCTTATTATTTTAAATATTCAGATACAGCCATGAGATTCCAAAAGTAGGTCACAGTGACCTACTTTTTTGTAAACATACTCCAAGGCCCCAAAATGCCTCAACTGACAAAGTTTGATGATTTTAAGTCTCTTATTGTTTGAAATATTTAGATATTGCCTTGAAATTCTGAAAGTAAGTCACTTTGACCTATATTTAAGTTTACACATTCTGAGGACTCAAACAGTGATTTTTCTACACTTTTTAAAAAGGGGCCTGGGCCTTTACAATTGGGAAAAATTATCGACATTTGTGTCAAATTGGGAAAAATTAATAAGATTGAAATTAACCTTAATTGACAGGTAAAATAAAATAAATAAAATACGTCTTGTAAATGCACAAAATAATCAGCTGTTCTTCACTATTATTGACCGAGAACAATAGTGTTCTATTTTAGATAAGTCCTACATAAAAAAAATTTAATATAACAAAAACAAGAACGGTTTTATTTTGGGAAAAAAGCAAATGAAATTGGGAAAAAATCGGTAATTTTTGATAGGGGAAAGGGCCGATATTCGGACCTAAAATGGGTGTAGGAAAATCACTGTAACACATCAACTGACAAAGTTTGATGATTCTAAGCCAATTAGTACCTGAAATATTCAAATATAGCAATAAAATTTCAATTTCACCATGACCTACTTTTCAGTTGACGTACTTTGCGAACTCAAGATGCAACAACTGACAAAGGTTAATTTTAAGCCAATTAGTAATTTGAATATTTAAATATAGTCACAAAATTTCAAAAGTTTAATGATTCTTAGTCCATTAGTACCTGGAATATTTAAATAGAGCAAGAAAATTTTAAAAAGTAGGTAATGGTGACCTACTTTTCAGTTGACATACTCCAAAGACTCAAGATGCTTCAACTGACAAAGTTTAATGATTCTAAGCCAAATAGTAGCTTCAATATTTAAATAAAACCATAAATTCCAAAAGTAGGTCACAATGACCTACTTTTCTGTTGACATACTCCAAGGACTCAAGATTTTGATCATTCAAATATCAATACAATCATAAAATTAATGAATGATGCTGAGTTTCATAAATTTGTTACAGGTACAACTGGTACTTCAATCTTAGTTTGTCTTGGTTAGTTATTACATTGTCTCTACTAACCTGCACTACATGAAGTCTGTACTTTAATCTTAGTTTGTCTATGTCTTGGTTGGTTATGTGTCCATACTTTCTGTAGCTATCATCTATCAAATTAGCTACATCAACACTTGGCTAGAAAAACAAAAATATTAATGGTATTTGAAAATTATGTTTATATAGCTACATCAAAAGATGTCTTTAAGATATGTAAAATGAACAGGTGTAACATTACACATGTTTCTGAAAAGATTAAATCTTAAACATTTAGAATTATTACACAGTTGAATGAATACTAAAAACAAACTAGAATTACTATAAGGAAACTCAACAAAAATATGCACCCCCCACTACAGTTTTTTTTTTCTAAAGTGCCCAAGTGCATTTTTCTCAAAGAGACCTTGAACTTGCCCAAATGACTTTAGGTCAAGGTCATGATTTACCTTTAGGATGAAAGTAATTTTGTGTAAAGTTTGAACTTTCAATATTCTTCCATGGGGAATTATGGACCAGACACAATTTTTTTCTAACAGTGATATTAGCCCCACTTTATATATGACTTGCAATTGCTTGAAAACAATAATTATGAAAAGAATGCTCTAAATAAACTTTTTAAAATGTAGGTCATATTCAAGAACTGAAACATTTCATTGGTAATAGTATCCCCCAATGAAATTTAAGGATTACATCTGGGATGTTTCCTGATAATTGTCACTAAACGATTTTTTTACCTCCTTCTTTTCAGACAGACTCCCACACATGGAGCTAGTGTGAGCAATATGAGGCATTGTGGAATCTTTATTTGTGATGTTCTCTAAGTAAGAACTCAGTATGGTCATCGCTTCCCCTTCCTCTCTGGCCTCCAATAACTCCTCCTGCTTATTGTCCAGGATTGTCAAGGCTACTTGAAAGATGACCTAAATAAAACAAGAGACCTTTAGGCCTTAATGGTCACCTGAATGTCACATGACAAGCTTTCCTGAGCCAATTTATTATTTTCTTGCCTTCTCCTTTGTAAAACTTTAATATATTCCCTTTTGGTCTAAATGGCATATGACAAATTGTATTAAATTGAATTTATGAAGGGGGTCTAAAACATTTCAGGATGTCATGATGAGTTATAAAAAAATATCTACTCAAGGAACCAATTATATTCATATTCCATTCATTTGAGTCTGTCTGTTTTAATATCTACCTATGATAGATAAAATCATGTGGGCAACATGTAAATTTTACTTTCTATGTAGTTCATGACCCACAGATTAAAACCCCCACAATATATACAGACAAGTCATCACTCTTGGTCTATGTGAGTGATTTCAGATAACCCTACAAGGCAGCACTAGCTGCAAGGTCAATATTGAATGTCTGCAGTTCACTGTACTGCAAAATCCCAGTGCCTACATACAAATGGTCATTTTCTCACAAGGTCTTTTCTATTTGTTCACAATCGTACATTTAGTGACACAATTGACAAGCTCTTTCGTGCACAAGATTTATAATCAAATACACAATGCCTTGTTTGATGTTATTCCTTTTGTGTTGTATTGTTAACGTTTCTTTGTCCCAGATGGATTTTAATGATGTTATTGAAGAGGAAATAAGGAAACAAATATCTCCTCTTTGGGCGAAATATTCTGATATGGAAGCCAAAAATTTGGAAAACCAGAAAACTATAGGTGAACTGCAAAAGCAAATTCTTGACCTAAAACAGGAGAATGATTTAAAGACTTCTGAACTTTACAAGACCAGTCAGTGGCTCCATCAGCTGATGACAACAACCTGGGAAGGAAATGAGTCATCTCTAGACATCTGCCGTTATATAACCCATCAATGTCCTTCCAAACCCAGACAAGGTACAACATATAATTTATTTAAATTGTCACTGTTTTCAGGCCCTTAGGAAACAATTTCAGTTTGGGGAGCACAACCAAATATTTCAGTTTGGGTGGACATTAGTAAGGAACAATTCTTTGACAAGGACTCTTCTTTTTTTTAAATTTTTATCCTGAAAAAATCCAGTTGAGGTTTGATGGTATTCATCTTTGAATTTGACCTTCATTGTCATGTTATCAGTCTCCAGGTAACTGTGAAATAGAACTGACAATAAATGTTTTTCAAAAAAAAAAAGTGATAAAGACAGATAGAGAAAAAAATTGAGCATTTAATTGTTAGTCAGTTTCCTCAAATTGTGACACCACTAAGTACACATCTCATGAAACATTTATATATGATACTGATCCACTTCATTTTTGGACAAGTATGTGTAATCAAAACATTGCAAAACATTAAAGAGTAAATTAAGGAAATATTTCATTGCAACAAGATTTTCTGAGTGCAAAGTCTTTACCAAAAAATTTGTTTCTTCCAAATGACCTTGACTTTGTGTAAATGACACACATTATCAGACCCCTTCTTGGATAAAAGCTTTGACACTTAATTCTCTATTGCAAAAGCAATTAGCTTTTCTACATTTAAATTTCACATATTCGTTGTTAGTAACCTAGCTTGCAGGATCTTGTCCCAATGACTCTAGGTAAGATTTTGAAGACATCCCCTGGTCATGAGAAGTTTCCGATCAAATAAAGTATGAGTTTAATTTCCATCATCTCTCTATTATAAAGAAAAATGCTGCATTTGTCATTAAAAGATATTAAATCATTTCTCTAGCATTGTAAACAATAAACTTGGTTAGTTTAGAGACACCTCCCTCACTCCCCCACTTCAGGAACAGTTTCCTATGGAAAGTTGGAAACATCAGAATGGTTTTGCTTCAACCATGTCCTAACTTGAATTTCTAGTGAAATATTGTAGTCACAGCTTCAAATATTACCATAATGTATGAATGCTTTATTTCAGAAGGCTTTGTAACAAACAATTTTTAAATAACATCCTGTTTCATTCGTAAGGCAATCAAAGTTTCTTAATACAGTGTCCTACATTCATGTTTTTACAGATAGACAGACAAGCCACTATGTTGCCTTCAGTGCCTACATTGACAACCTGGGTGGAAATAATCATGTGGGGAACACGCTTCTATACAACAATGTTCTTGGTAACTATGGAAACGCCTATAACAGCAGTAGTGGAATTTTTACAGCACCAACAGACGGTATCTATGCCTTTCTCTGGGTCACTGCTGTTCGACATGACAGCTGGTGCAGTACCAGGATGTTAAAAAATGGCTTCATCTTAAGTATGACTTCCTCTAATGCCAAGGCAACTGGTTCCAATTCTATTGAGAGTGGTTCAGGAACCGGTTTTCTCATAACATACATGAACCACGGTGACACTGCCTTTGTGGAAATGAACAATCCCCATAGTGAAACATGTAATATTGTCAGCAATGCCAAGGCACTAACCACCTTCTCTGGGTGGCAGATTACTAGAATTTGACTTCTTATGCTGTCACACATCTATACCTCTACTCAATAAACTACCTGAGCATTGAGACATATATATATATATATATATAAGAATCAGTTCCTTTTGTTCAGTATGTCAAAATAGTGAAACATCTCCTTTTCTTACAGTGACTAGTTTAATAATCCCATCTTTGTAACATCTCCAACAACCCCTGACATAATGCATGTTCACTGAGTAGCTGTAGACCTGGTTCAAAATACTGAGACCTCTAAAACTATTGAACCCATACAGTGACCAAGATATTATAAGCCATATTTTAACCATGGGTTCCCTGTTTCACAGTGAAATATTGAAAGGGGCCAGGTTCAAATATCATATCTTTATGTGATACATGCATATATACTGACTTTCTAAGGCTAATGAGGCTTTATGATGACTATAAGATTCATTGAACCCCCCTCAAATACTACTAGTTCAAATTTAGGTGGGTGGATCGAACTTAAGGGTGCAACGATAAACCGTGTGACGGTATATCACGGTATATTTTTCCACGGTTCAATTCACGATACGCTAAACTGATATCGCGGTTCGGTTCAATCGGTCCAGAATTATCCGTTTTGTCCGTTTTATTTCCTTCTTTACTATTTCAAAATGGCTTCCGCCCAAAACGTGAGGTCGCCGATAACGCATTTATGGCAGTTTAACTCATCTCCAGCATCTTACAGACCTCAGAATTAACACGGAGAAGGACTTAATGTGATTATAAGTTACAGATATTAAGACAAATGATAAACCCTTTAGATCTTTAAAGGTATTCTTTGGTAATACACGATATTCCATCACGTGTGTATTTCGATGAAAATTCGCTGTCTTGTTGACTAAAACGTATTAACACAAGAAATATGACAACTGGTTTTCTACGTAAATAAAAGGAATAAAAGAATGAATGTCTTCCTTTTTCATTCCAATTTAAAAGGAAGATTATTAGGAGAGGTCCCCGTAGTTCCCTGTAAATGTTCATCATTGGTTTAGAATGTTGTCACAACTCAAAGATCTACCTAACAATCCAATTCAAGTTAACAAAATGTTATTTTAATTATTATTAAAAAATATGAATATTTTGTATAACCCTGTCAAGTTTTAAAAAATATGATGACAAACTTGAAAGACTTTTAACCTTGTCATGTATCGTGATACGTATCGTATCGTGAACTGGAGTGCGGGACGGTTCGCTCCGAAAGACCATTCGCGCTGAGACGTTTCGCCCCTAGACGCGGTTCGCGCCGAAGATCAATTAATTAATTATGCGGTAATGATCACTTGTTAACAGCAATTATTAACTTCTTAATAACTTTTGTACTGTGTTATATTAATCCAATCCATTGGTTCAATCAATATGCTAAAGACGTGACACTCTGAAGATCTGATTGAGATAATTTTGCCCGTATGGGGGAAATATTAATAGATGATGCATACCAAAATAAACTTGTAGAATAAAAACTGAGAATCTATCTCTATATCAAGCTGTGTAACACCCCCCACCCCCCGCCCATAACCATATTAGAATTAAAGAAAAAAAGAAATTGTCAGACGTGATTTTTTTATGAACTCCTGTTGAGAAATATATTTTTGGTAAGTACTTATATAGCATTACTCAAAATCACAAAGAAAATTGGAGTCAGTGTGCGTCCTATACAGCAACGGTAAAATGAACTTGACACCGGCCGTCTCATAATTTAATTCTCCTCTTCATCTTGACATGGAGAGTCTCCAAATTATAGTTATAACACCTTAATTACAAAACTGAATCTGAATAAACATAATTATATCTGCACATGGGTAATTATACATTTGATTATGGTACAAGCCTATTTTCAACAATTTAAACATGAAATTTTTTTTAGTAACTTTAGAACATTTTTTTAAGAAAGTCAATATTAACCTTATATATAAATATTTATCTTAAAACATCGTAATACATCGTTATGTAGATTAAATTCGGCGCGAAACCATGGAAACGTCTTGGCGCGAAAGGTCTTGAGGGGCGAATGGTCTTGGCGCGAACCGTCAATGGGGGCGAAACGTCCCCTTACCGTGAACTGAATACCGTGATATGTATCGTATCGTGAGGTTAGTGTATCGTTGCACCCCTAATCGAACTATTATAAACTCAACCTTTAATTATTGCTTGAGGAGCTTCTAGCTTCCTAAGGTCCAAGACATTTATGTCAAAAATTACTGAACCCCTAAATTATTACTTATTAATGATTTGTAACAGTGTGGTGTGTGTGCGTTTGTGTATTTCGGGAAGGGGGGGGGGGCGGTGTCAAGATATTATAGCTCAAAATATAAAGTACTACTGGGCTACTGGCACAAAAGAGATCAGAATTATATAAGGTCATCCCAATTCAGATGTAATGTGTGCAGTTTCAAGAATTTTAAATGATATTTCTTATGTTTTGCAACCTCTCAATCACAACTCAGCAATAAAGTCTAGGGGTTTTAGCATTTTATAACTTTAATATCATGTTGTTAACCTCCAGTTATTGGCCATTAAACTTGACAGAATCCAATATTTCCCATCTAAAATATCTTTAATAACCCTCTTCTACCTCAGTTATGCAATAAAATTTGAAGCAGATTCAAATTTTATGGCCAACATATCTCGATATTTCTTTTGAATTCATTGAAGGGGTTCAATATTGTGTTCATATTATTTTTAACATCCTCCGGCCATTATGCAGTAAATGTAAGAAGTTAAATATTCAGCAATAATAATATTCAGAAGCCCCAGGCTAGTGTTTTGTATAAAATTTTAAAAAGTATTTCATAAAACTAAAAATTTTGTACAACCAATCATATCTACATACCCTGGCTCCATCATAGAAAAAACAATCCATTATGCAAACTGCACAGTTAAATGGCATCACACTAAAAAAAAAAGAATAAAAAAATGAGTGAAATATTGGTCATCAATCAGTACAAACAAATAATATCTACCAGTACTTATCCATCAACTCTTATAGTATTTAAGAGGGAAAATATATCAACATTTGTTAACAATGTCATATACCACCAATCGGATTTTTAATCAACATAATTAAGTTTTGTCTTTTTGAAGAAAGAATACATAAATGGAAAGTTTGACTAAACATAAATGTTGACGAAATTAATGACTGACAAAATCATCAAAGTTTCCACTCATTAACTTTCTCATCCCCAAAAAAGTGCAATATTAAATGCTAGCTACTAATCACCATGTCGTAATTTACACATTATCAAAAATATCCAAGATGCATCCCTGTAGCGGGTATGACAGGAGTACTCCTTAAATTATGTAACTATGTCTTTGACCATTGATCTTTGACCCTTAAAGTTGAAAAGCCTCTTTTTGGTGGCAATTTTGCATCTCGTTCTGAAGCAAGTATGTGACTGAGAGATTACAGTCACATAAATGTTACTTTCCGAATTGTGAATTCCATCCTGAAATCAATAGATTTTATCCTCTGACTACCATGCATCTCTAGATCTGTAGCTAAAATGAGACCGCAGGACCAAACAGTATTCTTTATCTTGTGTCACAACATTATATGGACCGACACATATATACACATATGGGGCATTTCACTTGTTGTTTAGAGATAAAAAAAAAAACTAACTCTTACGGAATAAGTATAATCTGATAAAGTTATAATAATCTTACAAGGATGGAGTATATTATACACAGTACCTGAGGAATATAGTAAGGAACCAGGACAAGGAGATCATACTGAGGAGACCAAGGACCTCCAACTTCTGATGCAGGGCTGGGAGGTTCTCATTAATGAGGTCCTCAAAAACATCTACAAAATATAGACAATCATTTATGATCGGTCCTCAAAAACATCAACAAAATATAGACAATCATAACTGAGGTCCTCAAACACATCATTCTACAAAATAGAGAAAATCAATAATGAGGTCCTCAAAAACATCTACAAAATATAAACAATCAAAAATGAGGTCCTAAAAAACATCTATAAAATATAGACAATCAATAAAGAGGTCCTCAAAACTTTTACAATAATAAACAAGGTTCTCAAAACATCTGCAATTATAAAAGCAATCATGATTGAATCCTCAGAAACATCTCCAAATATATAGAAATCATTAATGAGGTCCTCAAAACATCTGCAATTATATAGAAAATCATGAATGAATCCTTAGAAACATCTCCAAATATATAGACAATCATTAATGAGGTCCTCAAAACATCTGCAATTATATAGACAGTCATGAATGAATCCTCAGAAACATTTCCAAATACCTGTATATAGCCAATCATAAATGAGGTCGACCTCAAAACATCTGCAATTATATAGAAATCATGAATGAGGTCCTCAAAAACATCTCCAAATTAATTCAGACAATTAAAATCTAACTTCATCTTTCAGTTATGCTAAAAATTTATGGCATGTCAAAAGTCACATGATTGGGTGGGTTTTTTTTTCTTATCAACCTAGAATGCAAAATCATCAACACAATACATGTCATATAAACATAAACTAACAAGACTCAGATTTAAACCACGGGACATATATTGCTGTGTAACAGTCCTTATATGGCTTTGGCCCAGATGTACATGTATGACCTTGACCTTCAGTCTGGTCAAATATAAAGCCTCTATATTTAATTTAGATCAAATATTGTGGACAAGATTAATGTTCTGGAGAGATAATGAGACAGATCAGAAAACATAAATTTAAAACAATAAACCCCTTCTAACATATATTACATCTGAGGTGGGAAAAAAATGAATATTCTAAAATTATTAAAAAGGTTTTATTCTATTTATTATATACAGGTGCACTGTATATACCTGATAATTTAATTTTCATTTCATCGTATCTTATTTTGATGACATATGTCAAAATTAAATGTTAATACTTTTATTTATTAAAAAAATAAAATTCAAATCATAGGCCAAACAAAAACTCAACCAATTGAGTCATCTTTTTCTGATAAATAAAAACAAGATATTTATCAAGAGGTCTTTGGTAACGATGCTCACCTGGGTCACCTTGGCCCTGTGTTCTTCAGAAAATTTTAAAAAGATTTTGTTCTCTCTATCCCCCCCCCCCCCAAAAAAAAATTGACACCATATAACAGCCCCATGCAGTCTAGGCTAAAGGGTATGATTTAACTGAACTTGAATCCATATAACATTGGGATGTTTCAATACAAAAATGGCTAAGATGGCTTTCATGGAGAAGATTTTTTTTAAAGATTTTATTCTGTGAACATGCATTATGTAAAATTAATCGATTCCCCATTTTAACCCACCCTAATATCCAAGGGACTGTTATTTGAAGAACAAGAGGCCCAAGGGCCTTAACGGTCACCTGAGTATAATACAACAATTTAGAAGTTAAATAAACTGACAGATGACACATTGTTGCCCTAAAGCAAGAGAAGTAGGAAGATCAGGATCAACAAAATAATTAGTCTAGTATTCAGTATCAACTCATAAATTAAGTTCTAATCTGTCCCCCACTTAACACTATCACCATGCAGACTATTAACAAACTATTAGTGCTTCTGTACTATTTTTAAACCCATATTAAGGCCTCTAGCATTGACCTCTCTTATGGTCTTTGAAGAACTTTAAATAAGATAAGTTACTTTTGTCTCATTTTTATTTATCTATTACTTATAGGTCTACCTGATTATTAAAACTAAGACAGTACTTTTTGAATTATACGATAAACATTCTTGCATAATTATCTTATTCTATTTACCTTTCAAATACATTATTTACAGTGATTAATTATCAAAGGTGAATGGAAAAGGGGAATAGCTTCTCTCAGTAGAATACAAGTTAATAGAGCCCTGCAAAGGACCAGAATGCTTAGACGAATGGTCCAGATGTTTAAAAATCTGGTAGAAATACGCTTACTCATATCATTTAAACTTTTACTCAGTTTGCTTCCGATATGCCCAGAAACAGAGAAGAATTTCACAGGTACAATGCATTTTCACTACAGATTCAACAAAGCCTTACCCTAACACCAGAGCCCAAGACCAAGGGTCAAGAAATTTACAAATTTGGAAGAGTTACCCTCATCATCATAACTATGGACTTCAAAGAATTAACACTTTTCCACTATATTATCAAAAGCCCCCCCCCCCCCCCCCCCCATTATGCTAGAACCCCTGACCCTAGGACCACAAGATTTAAAAATTCTGTTCAAAGTACCCATTTTCATCATAGCTAAGCAATTTATTTATCAGCTCAACACTAAGGAGCAGACAGGATTAATTAATGATTAATTAATAGAATTAATGCTTTTTCACTATACAATCAATAGAGCCCCCCCCCCCTCAAGAACCCCAAAAACTGAGGCCATGTATTTAAAAATTTTGGAAGAGGCATCCTTGTCTATCATAATCATGCACTTAGTTTGTTTAAATAATCTCCAGTAGCAGAGAAGAAGATTTTCAAAGAATCAATGCATTTTCACTATATAATCAATAGAGCCCCACCCTAACACCAGAACCCTGACCCTGGGGCCATGAAATTCACAATTTTTGAAAAGGCATCCTTATGCATCATAACCATGCACTTAGTTTGTTTAAATGATACCCAGGAGCAGAGAAGAAGATTTTCAAAGAATTAAAGCATTTTCACTATATAATCAATAGAGCCCCACCCTAACACCAGAACCCCTGACCCAGGGGCCATGACTTTCACAATTCTGGAAGAGGCCCACCTCCTCATCATAACTATGTACTTAGTTTATCACCTTAATGCCCAGGAGCAGAGAAGAAGATTTTCAAAGAATTAATGCATTTTCACTATATAGTTGATAGAGCCCCGCCCTAACACCAGAACCCCTGACCCTGGGGCCATGAAATTCACAATTTTGGAATAGGTACTCTTGCTCATCATAACTATGTACTTAGTTAGTTTATTAAATATCCAGAAGCAGAGAAGAAGATTTTCAAAGAATTAATGCATTTTCACTATATAATCAATAGAGCCCCACCCTAACACCAGAACCCCTGACCCTGGGGCCATGAATTTCACAATTTTGAAAAGGCACTTTTGCTCATCATAACTATGTACTTAGTTACTTTATTTAATACTCAGGAGCAAAGAAGAAGATTTTCAAAGAATTAATGCTTTTTCACTATATAATCTATAGAGCCCCACCCTAACACCAGAACCCCTGACCCTGGGGCCATGAATTTCACAATTTTGGAAGAGGCACTCTTGCTCATCATAACTATGTACTTAGTTCCTTTATTTAATACCCAGGAGCAGAGAAGAAGATTTTCAAAGAATTAATGCATTTTCACTATATAATCAATAGAGCCCCACCCTAACACCAGAACCCCTGACCCTGGGGCCATGAATTTCACAATTTTGGAAGAAGCACTCTTGCTCATCATAACTATGTACTTAGTAACTTTATTTAATACCCAGGAGCAAAGAAGAAGATTTTCAAAGAAATAATGCACTTTCACTATATGATCTATATAGCCCCACCCTGGGGCCAGAACCCCTGACCCTGGGGCCATGAATTTCACAATTTTGGTAGAGGGCTCAATGCTTATTACAATGATGCCAACAGTTTGACTGCTTGATGTCCAGGAGTAAAGAAGAAGATTTTTAAAGATTGCATTATTTTTGGTGGTTTTAGCCCCACCCCTCAGGCCCCGGGGGGGGGGGGGGGGGGGGGGGTGGAAGGGACCATGAAATTCTTAATTTTTGTTCCCCTTCACCCATAGATGCTATATACCAAATTTGGTTGAAATTGGTTGAACGGTTCTAGAGAAGAAGTTAAAAATGTTCAAAAGTAAACGCACGACGGACGACGACGGACAAAAACAGATAGCAATAGGTCACCTGAGTGACTCAGGTGACCTAAAAAAATGAAGCCACACAACTTAGGTATGTTTAATCAAATGATTTAGTGTGGCCCTGCTACTTTTTAATGATTTTTTTTTTTAATTTCCTAGCCTTTTTAATCCTGATTTCTGTGCTCCCATGCAAGCAAATTGTTCAGATAAATGATGCATCCAGATTACTGAAACAAACTTTTCATTTTAGTACATTTATATGTAAATGTTAATGTGGTTCCCAACAAATTCATCTGGAATGTGAGATGTCCAGATTATTGGCATCCAGATTAAAAAGGCTCCCCTGTATTCCAGTTGTAAAACTCTGATCCTCTATTGTATGTAGCCCAACCCTATTCCCATGGGCCATGATTTGAAATCTGCACTTAAGCTATGAATGCTTGCATATTTTAATAATTAAGACTAATAATCATGGCACTGTTGTTCTTTAATAGAAGAGGATCTTTAGCTTTTTCCCTGTACATTTTTATATATAGAACCTTGAATTCCTATTGTTGGCTCACCCAACCTCCTGAGGCCATGACTTGAAGAAACTTAAATCGAACACTTAACCAGGATCCTTGCATATTAATATGACTAATCTGCTGTTCTTAAGAGAAGATATTAAAAGGTACATGTATTTTCCCATGTTAAAATATGTTCTCTTATTGTGGCCCCACCCTAACCCCTAGGGGCCATGATTATTTTGATAAACTTTAATTTATTCTACTTGAAGATGCTTGGCATTAATATGTTTATTAATGGCCCTAATTTTCTTGAAAACAACATTTTTAAAGATTTTTTTCCCTTTAATTCCATATAAATCTTTGATTTTTTTCCCCAGGCACCATGATTTGAAGAAACTTGAATCTGCATCCCCCGAGATGTTTGCATTTTAAATATGACTTATCATGGCCTTGCTTTTCTCAAGAAAAAAAATTGTAATGGCTTTTTTTACCCTTTACATTCAGATGTAAAACTTTGATCCTGGATTCATTAAGGGGTATACACTAAATTTGAAAACATAATTAATAGTCCACAGGACTAGTGACTTTGAATTCCTATTGGCTCTCTTAATGAATTAGTTATCCAACAACTAAATAAAATGCATACCTTCCTTGTACTGAAAATATGAGTAAGGCAGCTAATTCTGCAGAAGAACTTAAAATAAACTCACAATTTAGCAACAGATGGACAGACAAATAGTTTGAAACTTTGATCAGATATGCTTACTTCAGCTTCTGGCTCAGCTGAGCTAAAAAAAATGACAAAGTACAAAGATTGTACTGTTAATTTAACTTTCGCTTCTGAATCATTTGTCCTTTAGGTAGGGGACATTCATAAAATTAAACGTAATAAAGATTTTTTAAATACCGGTATATAAAATAATAAATTATTAACAAATCACATTAATTTTTATAAAAAAAAGTCTTTGCCAATAAAGTAATATATCTGTAAATTCTCTTTATCTAGAGAGAGGTCAAGAAAAAAAATTACAGCAAAGTACATTAGTTGTATTTAAAAGAACTGCAGTTTTCCTTAACTACTTTTTAAGAAGATTCTTGAAAGGTTTTTTCCCCTCTTGCCATGAAAAATTCTGATCCCATATTGTGGCCTCTACCTAGCTCCATGGGGACATGTTTAAACAAAACTTTATTGAATCCCAACACAACATGGGGATTCTTCATTATCGATGAAATATAGCTATATGTGGCTGTGCTAGTCTGGAGAATTTGTTTTCCCTGTATACATGCATTGTGTAAAATTTGATCCCCAATTTAAGCCCAAACCTAACCCATGCAGGGTCCATAATTTGAGTATAACTTGAATCCACATAACTTTGCAATGGTTGCATATTTAGGATTAAGTGTGGTTCTGCACCTACTCTTGAAAAGATTTTTTTTAATTTCAATAAATGAGATGCTTGCATATTAATACTTGACTTTTCATTGTGGTTCTTGAGAGGGTTTAAAATGATTTTTTCTATAAATTCCCACGTAAAATTTTATTCCCTTTTGTGGTCCCACCCCTAACTATGAGGGCACTGATTCAAATGATCTTGAATAGATCTGCACTACCTGAGAATGTTTGCATATTGATATGATTAATCATGTCTTGGTTTCGGCTATCTGTGTCAAGCATGACCTCCTGATTCTCCTCTTACATGACTTTTAGAGCTGCATTTTCCCATCCTTACAGAATCTTACATGGTTTAAAAGATTTTTAATGAGGGTCATGATGACATCACCAGACCAAGTAAAATAACAAATACACAAATGAAATAGACAATTACTCCTCACACTTCCATTTACAAATTTAAATATCTTTTTATTATCCTTTTTTCATTTTGTCTGAGTGATCTAATTCAAGCATTGGCCACACCTATTGAATGTATTACTTAAGAGATGAATTTAATTTTCGAGAATTTATGAGGACATGCGCTTTAATGCTTCATGATAAATATGCCGGTGTGAAGCGTTGTAGTCATGTACCTCATGAATTCTCAAAAATTTAATTCATATCTTATATTTACATTATTTTTCTGATGACTTGCCACATATTTTTGTCATTCAACGATCATTTTTAGACAAAAAAGTTTGCACTATTTTTTGATTTCATTTACATCACAATGGAAATATTCTTACTCAACCCATAGTAGTTCATGAGAACGTAAACTTTTTCTAATATGCAAAGAATCTTAAAGAAAAATATTTGGAAATGTAAATACTGTCTCATAATTAAGAAGATACAAGTTAAACCATGGATTTTACTTTATATACATGCTTAATGTGCATGTTTAACCATGGATTTTACTTTATATACATGCTTAATGTACATGTTTAACCATGGATTTTACTTTATATACATGCTTAATGTACATGTTTAACCATGGATTTTACTTTATATACATGCTTAATGTACATGTTTAACCATGGATTTTACTTTATATACATGCTTAATGTGCATGTTTAACCATGGATTTTACTTTATATACATGCTTACTGTGCATGTTTAACTATGATTTTACATATAAATACATGGTTAGACAGGTACATATATTACTTACATCTTTTCTTTGTGCAAAATGAAAATAATTCTGATACTTTGTTGCTATTCAATAACAAGAATGGATAAAGAAATAAAAGAGAGCATAAAAAATCTCTTACGCTGGTCAATCAACGCCCCCACCACCTTAGTGTTGTAATAGTCGGGTAACAGTCTCTCACAAATGGATGTCAATAACCAGAACGCCTCCTCCTCGCTAACATACAACAGTAATACACTGGTGACGATATTCATTGCCTGGCAGTAACCTAAAAATAACATTGGTCATTATATAATTATTCATTGCCCAGCAAAAGCTTCCCCCCCCCCCCCCCCCCAAAAAAAAATAAAAACAAAAGAACAAGAGAATCATAGGCCTTAACATTCATATTCAAGCAGCTTGCATGTCTACTAGAAGATGAGGAATAAAGATGATGCGGTGCAATGTATAATATAAAATTTTAATATATATATAATCAAATTAGCCCCTCCCTGGGCATAATCCCTCAGGTCCTGGGAGGCATCAATCATATTTCTGTAGAGGGGTAGCTGCTTATTATAATCATGCAAACAATTTGCCTGCTATGTGTCCACACAATTAGTTTACCTATAGTAGGATTTCTCCAGGCATAAGCAGTTAACACTCGCCTCAGAGCACTGATCCCCAGATCAGACTGGAAGGCTGGGTGTTCAGGCAGTGACCTACAATAACCCATCTAAACCATTATAATCCATAGGGATAATATAAAATTGAATTTCTAAATGCATTCTTGTTAAATCTTAAAGGGTTTTAGTTTTATTTGAGAATTATTTCAGGTATAGCCATATGATTTTTTAAAGACTTTCAAATAGTATATGTAGATATTGAAACAAATAAACTCCAAATATTTCTTTAATTTTGAAACTTTTTTCAGCCATATTTTCAACTATTTTGAAGTATTTTCCATGACCTGTAAAATTCTCTTTCTAGTTACTAGACATTTTGTCTAATCACAGGAGTTCGCGTACCTATCAATTTTACCAAAATTTTCAGTAAAAAATACATAATACCTATATATAATAATAACATGATTATTATAGGTATTACTTATTTTTTATATTTACTGAAAAATTTGGTAAAATTCATAGATATGCGAACTCCTGTGGTCTAATCTATAAAATTTCCCATTTTCACACCTATTTCTAGCCAAAGATCTGTAGCTCACTTTCCTAACCAATAAAAACCCTCCATCTTATCACTGGCATTTTTACTAACATCTGAACTTCACAAAAGACTTCTTAGGCTGTAAAGATCTATATCTCAGTCATTATTTAGTTTCTCTAATCTGTGAAGATATCATTTAGTTTCTCTAATCTGTGAAGATCTGTATCTTATAACTACATACAAATTATCTAACCTGTGAAGATTTTGTAACAACATACAAATTATCAAATCTGTGAAGATCTCTATCTTTTAGCTACATAAAAATTACCTAGTAACCTGTGACAATCTTATCTTTTAACTACATAAAAATTTATCGATCTCTTTGAGGATCTCTTTCTCATAACCACATACAAATCATCTAACTTGTGACAATCTCTATCTTGTAACTACATACAGATTATTTAACCTGTGAAGATCTCTAGCTCATAACTACACGCAGATTATCTAACATGTGAAGATTCCTCGATCTCTCATCACTTTATACAGATTATCTAACATGAAGATCTCTATCCTATAACTATACAGTCATAGATTATCTAACATGAAGATCTCTATCTGTTCACTGCACATAGATTATCTAACATAAAGATCTCTATCCTATAACTATATACATAGATTATCTAACAAGAAGAATTCTATCTGTTCACTACACACAGATTATCTAACATAAAGATCTCTATCCTACAACTATACATAGATTATCTAACCTGTGAAGATCTCTCTCTATCTCATCATTAGCTAGAGTGTACTTCCCAAGGCTTTGTTCTACCATGTTCCTATAATATCCTTTGTTTGTAGCCATCTGAAAGACAAAGGCGGGGCATAAAAACTGAATTACACATATAAATGTTCATATATTGTACGAATTCTAACAAAACATAACAGCAGAAGTTGTATAATATGCAGGTTGGAATAAGAATTAGACATTGCTTCACTTCATGCTACTGGATGTCGCCTATAATGTTTACACAGTAACAACTAGATACCTTTCCCTTCCACAATTTGCCTCTGGTTATCACCATATAACCTTGATTATGATCTTGACTGTTGAGTTAAGGGCCTGACAAAACTCAAGATCATGAGCAACAAAATACCCACATGATCACCAGACTTTCCAAAATACTACCTTTTTCTTCCAGAAACTGAATTCAAGTTGCAATGGTGAGAAGAAAATGTGTCATCTAATGTGCTACTGAGATGATCAAAGCTGGTTTGAAGCAAGTTTGGTTGAACATGCATGGCCCAGTAGTTTGTGTGAGACAATTTATTCCACTAGAAATATGTTCATAGGACATGAATGCCCCGCCGAGGGTATATTAGGAATGCAACATGAAAATTTGTATTAGTGTATGAAATCTGATAAGAATATCTTGAATAGTTTCTTTAAAATTGAAATCTAAAAAATTGGATATAGATAATAAATTCTCACCAAATTATGTATAAGTGCATAAGCTTACATAAATATATCTTAAATGGTTTCTTTAAAACTAAGCAAAATGCATATTTAAGAAAAGTGAGGTCAAGGTCACAGGAAAGTTCAAGGTCAAAAATTTTTGATGCATTTGAATAGTTCTCACATATACATATCAGCATATTAAGATTTGATAAAAATATTTTGAATAGATTAAAACTGAGCTAAACACTAATTTAAAGTAAATGAAGTTAAGGTAAAAAGGAAAGGTCATGGTCAAAAAATGTTGATGCAGTTGAAAAGCTTACATCAGTATGTATTAGCATACAAAGTTTTACGAAGATATTAAGAGTGGTTTCTTAAAAACTGAGTTAAACCCAAATTTATAAAAGTGAGGTCAAGGTCAAAGGAAAGGTCAAGGTAAAAAAAAATGTTGATGCAGTTGAATAGCTATCATCAGTATGTATCAGCATATGAAGTTTGATAACACTATCCTGAATGGTTTTTTTTAAAACTGAGCTAAACACTAATTTAAGAAAAGTGAGGTCAAGGTCAAAGGAAAGGTCAAGGTAAAAAAAATGTTGATACAGTTGAATAGCTATCATCAGTATGCATCAGCATATGAAGTTTGATAACACTATCCTGAATGGGTTTTTTTTTAAACTGAGCTAAACACTAATTTAAGAAAAGTGAGGTCAAGGTCAAAGGAAAGGTCAAAATCAAAAAATGTTGATGCAGTTGAATAGCTCTCATCAGTATGTATCAGCATATGAGGTTTGATAAAATATCTTGAATGGTATCTTTAAAACTAAGCTAAATACTACTTTAGGAAAAGTGAGGTCAAGGTCAAAGGAAAGGTCAAGGTCAAAACATGTTGATGCAGTTCCATAGCTCTCATCAATATCTATCAGCATATGAAGTTTGATGAAAATTTCTTGGATTGTTTCTTTGAAAATGAGCTTTGAACTGAGCTAAACGCAAAGTGCGATGGAAAGACAGACAGAAGGATGGAAGGATGGAAGGACAGAAGATGGACATGACAAACACTATATGCCCCGGCCATATTCATGGCGGGGCATAAAAATGGTTTATGTGAGAAGATTTATTCTAAAAGGTTCAAAATTTAAAGATGCTGGATGACAATTATTAAATGAAGGATGAAAATAGAAATTCACTCAGACAGCACAACAACTGTTATAATCATTGTCTTCTTCCCACATTTGTTCTACTTTTTTCAAAGGCACCAAGTCCAAGTAATATGTGCATTTTGTATTTCTTTACCAGGGTAATAATTCAATACAATGAATTGTCAACTTCCCACATGCTCCTTCTAAAATGGAAAAACCATTCAAATGAGGACTTACAGTATTTATGTGATCAATATCATGTATGACTTAAGGAGGAATGGGACACCTTCATTATGTGACAAACTTCCTTTCAAAATAATCAAGAAAGTTAACTTACAATTTTTATTACTTTTAAATCAGACCAAAATTAAAAGAGTTCTGGTCTTCAAAATCAAAGACTAATAAAGGGAATTGTCTAGTATCTTAATGTAGCCTACTTGTTCCTGTTCACCAAGTTTTATTGACATTTTATTGAAATCAGAGCAAAACTGTAGGAGAGATACAGTGTACCCAAAAATTTTGAAAGGCATGTACAGATAATTATAATTTAAGTTATCATAGCAAAACTGTTCATTGTGTTTAAAAAACCTACACAGATATACAGTCAACACACTCATGTATATTCATGTAGACTCTTGTGTACAAAGTTAACTGATATCAAGAAATCAAATAAATACTGTAGGGACATGCAATTTCTTTTTTTATCATTTCATAGTTAATTCTATATTCTAGCAATCATGGCTTTACCATTCAACAAATAACTGATAAATAAAACTATGCGCCTTAATGTAGTCTACTTATGTAGCATGTTTAACTGAAATCAAACCCATATGTAAGTGGATTAGCAATTTGAAAGAATTTCAAGACTTTAGAAACAATAGCTACACTGTTCATCAAAATTTAAAAAAAAAAAAAAGGGGGAGGGGAGGGGCATATACAGAGTAATATTATATGTAACCTTGATGTTGTCTACTAGCATGCTAAGTTTTATTTATATTGAACCAAAACTTTAGAAGTATCAATTTGAATTTGTTTGCAGAAAAAACACATTGACAAACAATGAATACTTTTCCATGGTCATAAACTTTTCTGATCTTTGACAAATAGAGCAAAAGATGATGAAATCTTTGGTCTTCTTTCTCTAAATACATATGACTTGTTTATACTGAATATCTAAAGACAGTTTATTTCATAATCTTATACAGTGATGGAAACTGTGAAAAAAAAATTAATATGAGGTTATGGAAAATACTGTCAACAACATGTGTTATTTCAAACTGTGGAAAACTGTACGAAATTAATGTTGAAGTTTGCAAATGCATGTAAATGAAGAATTTATTTCAATCTGAGAGCATATAATAACAAGAAGCCCATTGGCCACATTGCACACCTGAGCACACTGGCTAGGAAAAAGCACAAATCAGTTCAGTATTGAAAAGTTTACATGGGAGGGGGGAGCTTGAATTTTACACTACCTGAGGATATAACAAATGGCTTTGTTGTTCTTGAGAAGGAGATTTTTAAAGATTTTTTCAAAGATTTTTTTCTTATACATTCCTTTGTAAAAATTTGATCCCCCATTGTGGCTCCTCCTTACCACTGGAGGTCATCATTTGAACAAACTTGAATCTACACCACCTGAAGATACTTCCATATAAATCATGGCTTTGCTATTCTTGATGAGAAGATTTTTAAAGATTTTTTCCTGTGTATTCCTATGTAAAACTTTGATCCCCCATTGTGGCCCAACCCTGCCCCCATTGGTCATTATTTGAATATTCTTGAATCTTCACTATGCAAAGAATGATTTCTATAAGTTTTGACTCTTTTGGTCCAGTGGTTCTTGAGAAGAAGATTTTTAAAACATGCCATCAAATTTTCACTATTTCTGAATTATCTCCCCTTGGATGAGAGGGTGTGGCCCTTCATTTGAACAAACTTGAATTTCCTTTACCCAAGAATGCTTTGTGGCAAGTTTGGTTGAAATTGACCTAGTGGTTCTGGAGAAGAAGTCGAAAATGTGAGAAGTTTACAGACATACAGACAGCTACATATATGTAGACAGACAAAATGTGTTCAGAAAAGCTGACTTGAACTTTCAGCTCAGGTGAGCTAACCAGGGTAAAGATACTGCACTTCTGGATTAGTTATCATCCTCACAAACATCAAATATAGACATTTATTCCTTACTTATTATTATTTAAATCTATTACATGTATTGATCACAGTTTTGGTCTCCCTGGGGATATTTAGTTTAAATATTGGCCATGTGCATTTAATTTTGTTGTAAAAAACCCATATTTTACTGGCATGATTGAGACTGAAACAACATCAGCAAATGTGAATATGTATATATAATTCCACTAACCAGGTCCAGCAAGGAGATGTAAAATAAATGTTTGAACTTAAGATATTTTGGTAACATTTGTTATCAAACAATGTAAAGCAATTAAAGAGTGAAATTTGTTGTCAAAAAATAGCAGCACAAAAATATTTTCAAAATATAAATTTGAAGAGTCTTGAAGACAAGAGGCCCAGGGGCCACATCGCTCACCTGAGCACTATGGCTAGGAAAAAGCAGAAATCACTTCAATCTTGAAAGGTTGAAAAGTTTAAATATAAAAGTGGTGGGGGGGGGGGGGGGGGGTCAGGAATTGAACAAATTTGAATCTACATTATCTGAGGATGCTTCCATTTAAATATGACCAATCATGGCTTTGTTGTTCTTGAGTAGAAGATTTTTAAAGATTTAACCTATGTATTCCTATGTAAAACTTTGATCACCCATTGTGGCCCCACCCGACCCCCAGGGGTCATGTTTGAACAAACTTGAATGTACACTATCTAAGAATGCTTCCATATAAATATGACCAATCATGGCTTTGCTATTCTTAACAAATAGTTTTTTTTAAAGATTTTTACTATGTGTTCCAATGTAAAACTTTGATTGCCCATTGTGGCCCCACCCGACCCCCGGGGGTCATGATTCGAACAAATTTGTATGTACACTATCTGAGGATGCTACCATATAAATATGACCAATCATGGCTTTGCTATTCTTAACAAATTGTTTTTTTTTTAGAATTTTTACTATGTGTTCCTATGTAAAACTTTGATCGCCCATTGTGGCCCCACCCGACCCCAGGGGGTCATGATTTGAACAAATTTGAATGTACACTATCTGAGGATGCTACCATATAAATATGACCAATCATGGCTTTGCTGTTCTTGAGTAGAAGATTTTTACTATGTGTTCCTATGTAAAACTTTGATCGCCCATTGTGGCCCCACCCGACCCCCGGGGGTCATGAGTTGAATAAATTTGAATCTACACTATCTGAGGATGCTTCCATGTAAATATGACCAATCATGGCTTTGCTGTTCTTGAGAAGAAGATTTTTAAAGATTTTTCCTATATATTCCTATGTAAAACTTTGATCGCCCATTGTGGTCCCACCCGACCCCCGGGGGTCATGAGTTGAACAGGCTTGAATCTACACTACCTGAGGATGCTACCATATAAATATGACCAATGATGGCTTTGTTGTTCTTGAGAAGAAGATTTTTAAAGATTTTTCCTATATATTCCTATGCAAAACTTTGATCGCCCATTGTGGCCCCACCCGACCCCCGGGGGTCATGATTTGAACAAATTTGAATGTACACTATCTGAGGATGCTTCCATGTAAATATGACCAATTATGGCTTTGCTGTTCTTGAGAAGAAGATTTTTAAAGATTTTTCCTATATATTCCTATGTAAAACTTTGATCGCCCATTGTGGCCCCACCCGACCCCCGGGGGTCATGATTTGAACAAACTTGAATTTACACTACCTGAGGATGCTTCCAAGTAAATATGACCAATCATGGCTTTGCTGTTCTTGAGAAGAAGATTTTTGAAGATTTTTCCTATATATTCCTATGTAAAACTTTGATCGCCCATTGTGGCCTCACCCGACCCCCGGGGGTCATGATTTGAACAAACTTGAATGTACACTATCTGAGGATGCTACCATATAAATATGACCAAGTATGGCTTTGCTGTTCTTGAGAAGAAGATTTTTAAAGATTTTTCCTGTATATTTCCTATGTAAAACTTTGATCGCCCATTGCGGCCCCACCTACCCCCGGGGGTCATGATTTGAACAAATTTGAATCTACACTACCTGAGGATGCTTCCACATAAGTTTCATGTTTTCAAGCACAGTGGTTCTTGAGAAGAAGATTTTTTAATGATGCCATTAATTTTTCACGAATTCTTAATTATCTCCCCTTGGAAGAGGGCGTGGCCCTTCATTTGAACAAATTTGAATCCCCTTTACCAAGGATACTTTGTGGCAAGTTTGGTTGAAATTGGCCCAGTGGTTCTTGAGAAGAAGTCGAAAATGTGAAAAGTTTACAGACGGACAAACAGACAGACAGACGGACAGACAGCTAGACGGACTACAGACAAAATGTGATCAGAAAAGCTCACTTGAGCCTTCGGCTCAGGTGAGCTAATAAAAACTATGATGTTCACTTTAACAGAACATGTACTTTCTGGTGGAATTTTGAGCTCTGTTCATTCTCACTTAGAATGGTCAAATTCAAAATTAGCATCATTATTCAATGCCATGTGTGAGATTCATTGGGCATACATGTAGTTTGGTGATTTTTTTTGGTATCCTACTATCCTACATATGAATATTACATTATTTCACAAAAATATTCTATTAACACTTCATTATTATTAGATGCCATTATTACATCAATTCACAAATATACACGTATTCTATTAACACTTCATTATTGTTCTTTAATGCCACTTGAAAAATATTTGCGTTAAGTTTACTAAGAAGTTCCCTGAACAAAGTACACTTTCAAAGAAGAAATTTCTTTACAAGAGTTGATCAAAATGAATGAAGCAGGAGACAAACAACAAGAAATTCCATCCATGTCGACTTGACAATAAATCTGTGTTCACCTGACAACAAGAGATTCCATCTTTGATAACTTGACTACAATACTTTGTTCCACAGACAACAAAAGATTTGATCCATGACAACTTGGCTACAATACTTTGTTCAACAGACAACAAACTATCTTAAATTTCCTGCTGTACCTCATTTATGGCACCAGAAAACAGCATCCAGATCTCCCCTCTAAATTTCTCAGGCAGTCCTTGTAAAATGAGGTCCTGGGTCTTGTGAGTTCTGTACATACACACACCCCTAAAAAATACATGTGTCAATTAATACATGTTTGGGCAAAAAAAAAACAACCTTGATCTACAAAATGGTAAATAAATACATATAATTGCATAATTTCAATCTGTTGTTGACCAGGCATAGATGCTGGTGTTCAGCAACACAATGTCATGACCATGTACATAAGAATGGAATAACATTTTTTTTTTAAATGTTTTTTCTCCAATTTGATGAATTTAAGGCAGATTAATTTGCCTTTATACCAAATTAATCTCATTTAATTGACGGAAGCACATTACAATATCGTTAAAACTAATAGTAGAACAAATTGGTTATAATCCAAAAGGGAAAAAGAGTCACATTGGTACGAGTTGATTAATTGGTAGCACTTCCTTTTCCCACCATCCAGCAACAGGATCTGTGACCAACACAGGGCCACTGGTTTTGCCCGGTACTTATTAGTCGGTATGCCAGCTATCCCTCCTGGATCCTATTGTACAATGTTTGATTGTACATTTATGCAATGCGGCCATTTAATGCCAATTCCCTTATGTCCATCACAGTTATGAATAATGCAAGATTGTATATGCTTTTCTTCAAGTCTTTCATAAGTGTAATGAAAATCATACAGCTGTTGTCTATTGTAAAGCTAAGACCAAGGAAAGGTCATGATGACCCTATGTGTATAAAGAATCAAGTAACAATGCATGTCAGGTCCTGCGGGGCAGTGATTACCTGACTGTTCAATTAAATGAAATTTTATATGAAAACTGTCTGAAGTTAAAGAACTGAAAAATATGCTCTTTATCATCTTCGCTAGCCAAGGGTTTCTGATACGCTACTCTGCTCATAAGCCCTTGGCATACGGTGTTACAAAATGTTGGGATTTTTTTCTCAAGTTGTGATTGGAGTTGATCGACATCGTTCGACCAATCAGCAATTGTTTTTTGTAAATGACGATATTTGCGTTCGGGATATATCTTGACTCTTTAATACCGGGAACGAAAAACGCAAGTAAACAACGATCCGTAAGAAACATGTCATTCTATAAATAGTTATATGGTGTCATCCAATATCTTAATCTACGTGCTAAATATGGGATTAAGAATCTATACTGAAGATGTAGATTTGCATTTTAACATGTTTAAATAACAAATTAACAACAAATTAACATAACTCATTACCTTCTTGTTATTATTCTTTAAAAACATTATTTTTTTAAATACGCTTTTTATTTCTGTCGATGACGCAATCTGTGCGTACCTGGTAAGAATGGTGATCACGTGACGAAAACAATCCCGTCTTTTGTCAGCACCGTATGCCAAGGGTTTATGAGGAGAGTAGCGTATCAGAAACCCTTGGCTAGCGAAGATGGCTCTTTATAGACATGCATAGATCAGAAGAAGTACATGTAGCTCACCTGCCGTATTCTGAAAAATGAACATTCCACAGATGTTCTTTGACAGTTTCTCTTGCAGATAATTCATCTGAATGCCTTCTGTGAAACAAACTGACCAAAGCTGGCTGGAATTGGATATCATCAGCTACAATTTTAGAATTAAGAATTTTAGAATCCATTATTCCTACTGCTGAATTATTCAAGATGGTCAAATAAATAACAGCAAAAAACAAATAACAAACAAAAATTAAATTTCTCTATTTGCATGATTGATTTTTGGAAAATTTGTGAATGTGACAGCCACTTCATTTTTGAAAAATTGAGAACTTTGAGCATAAGAAGTTGTTATTTTGAATTATCTATAAATCTTGTGAGAAAAAAGAATTATATTAGCTTCCCTTTTATTTTCTCTTTGATTACTGGTTCACTCTTTAACAGTTGAAGACTTTAACATAGAGAATAAAACATACTCTTTCCATATTAACACACTCTGGGACACCAATATCAGCCATAGGGCCAAAGGCTCGAGGGCTGATATTGGTTTAGGGCTGATACAGGGTGTGTTATGGACATATGTTTATTACATACTTGGTAATAACATTCAGCACACATGTACTTAATAATCACCAACTTAGTAAATTATTGTATAAAATTCCTGTAAAATTAAATACAATTTTTTTTACAAAGAATGTATTAAGCAATAGGTGTATTATCATATACTTTGTAGTAAATACACTTATTCTGCACTGTGTGATATGGGTAACATCACAATACCCCATATCAAGGACCAGTCAAAAAAACCTTATCACATATTGGACAGGCAAGCAAAAATCCTTATCAAACCAGAAGTAACGTTTGTATAAAGTTTAAAAGATAATTAACTTAAAGTTGATTTTATTTTAATATACATGTACATGTAATATAATTCTTTACTGAAAATTGTGGACTTAATTGTTCTCAGAGACTTTAAATTTGCTCTATTAGATTTTTTTAAAAAAAAAAAGGTCATAAATATGCACGAAACATTCTTAATGTGAATTTAATGTGAACTTGCACATTAAGTATTTTAGAAATATGATAAACAGAATACTACATACTAAAATCCATATCATTTGTCACATCAGCCAGAGGGCTGATATGGGGCCACTTGGACTGATATGATATATGACATGGATTTTAGCATGTAATATTTTCTATGTAATCAGCCCTGCAGGATCTGTATCAGACCTAGAAGTCGATATGGCTATTGTGACGCCAGGCATACATGTATCTCAAAATTAATGTAAAAAAAATGTATGTAATAAATGGATATACAGTCAAATATGACAAACAAAACCATTGCAGTCAGAAGGCTTAGACATGGAAGGTAAATCCTGGTAGTTTATCATACTAACAGGCCTCTGAAAACTGGACAAAGTTTATTCCAAAATATCTTGCATGGAACCATTTGGGAACTAATTTAAAGAAGGGCACCTCAAAGTGAAGCATCCAATGAATGAATAGAGCACATTGATCCTCATGTTAAGAAGAAGTCTGAGAGCCAATGCTCACTAGTAATACCCCCCTCCCCCCCCCCCCCCCCTTTCTGATGTGAATATACATGTCAAGTTCAGTTACAAAAAAAATATTCTACTAACTATGATTTTTTCCCTCATTTAAGGTTCACATTTTTATCATCATTAAAGTTAATCAAGAAAGTCAATGTCCACAGTAACAAAACATAATAACCAAAGCAACACAGGGATAAACAGGAAGTTGACACTGAATTCATGCAAAAATGAATCCCACCATATGGCATGCCAAAACAAAGAGTGTGAAAAATTTCAAGCATCTGCCTTAGTTATTTGCTGAGAAAAGTGTGACAGAAATTTGGTACAGACAGACACAGGGATAAACAGGAAGCTGACATCGGATTCCTACAAAAATGGATCCCACCATATGGCATGCCAAAACAAAGAGTGCGCTAAAATTTCAAGCATCTGCAAAGAGTAGTTGCTGAGAAAACTGTGACAAAAATTTGTTTTGGACAGACAGACAGCTACACACAGACAGACTGACATACAAGGGTAAAACAGTATGCTCCCCTCTCATTCTGAGTGGGGGTATAATTATTATTTGGCTATGCGTAACTTCCGTTATGCATGCACTCAAACACTCACTAAAACACACACAAGCACATTACTAAATCCCCTCCAACTTTGTTGCGAGGGGATAATAATCCACGATAACTCTTTCCTAGAAACTGATGGTCTTTTCTGAATCATATACTGACCTGGGGAATTGGATGTACTATCACAGGTCGAGTTCTGTCGTGAAGGACTGAAACAAACATTTATAATAATCAGATTACGATTGATTAAAATATTTTTATGACTTCAATGACATCTGTATTGGTCCTCCAAAGCAAAACTTGTTCAAGAAAAAAGTAAATCATGCTCAAACCAAAACCAATGGTATTATTGCTTAAGTCCTGGAAATGTTCTATTGCCCCAAATAAACCATGAGTCAACAATTTACCTCTTGTCTGAAGACTCCTCTACTCTGGACAAGAAATCAGACAGCTTCTGCAGAATGAACTCTCGCACAGGAAGTTGGGAAAATATAAAGTTGTTCTGAAAAAAATTAGAAAATACCCTATGTAAATTTATTGAATAATTTACTTTATTTGTACTAAAAGAAAAAATATAGAATAAGATAAAAACTGTGAATTATTTTCCTATGAGATGTGCATGTTTTTGAAATGATAATGGGGTTGAAAACAATTAAAATCTATTTATATCTGTTATGAATGTCAGTTGAATCATTATTGAATCCCTCTTTTCAGCCAATGCCCCTTCATGTACATGTACATGCTAGCATCCTTCTGCTGTGTAGATTCAATTTATTTACTATTTACGCACCCACCCCCAACGCCAGGGTGCCATCAATGCCCACTTTGAATTATGGATAGAGAAAATGTCATACATATATGATTTTAAGGTTCATAATTCTCACTGAAATAAAAATAAAATGTGAAAATAACAGTGATCATTCTCAAAAGTTCATTCCTCACTCTGTGATTCGAAGGTCGTGTGTTCAAATCTTGGCCGTGACTGACCTAAGTCGATAAAAACTAGGTAGCAACTGTTCCTTTGCCAAGTGCTCAGCACTTTGAAGTGAAAGTTGCAGGTTCTTCGGATGAGACCTTAAAAACTGAGGCCCCATGTCACAGTAGGCCTTGGCATGATAAAGAACTCTCACTGCTCAATGGCCCTGAGTGCCGAGTAAAGGTCTAAATTTGAAGCCCTTCACCGGTATAAGGTGATGTCTCTATATGAGTGAAAAATTCTTGAACAGGACGTAAAACAACATACAATCAATCAATCAAAAATCCATTTAAACCATACAAATTTTGAGCAAAGCCAACACAGACCTCTGAAAACAGAGGTGGGATCAGGTGCCATATAATCTTTGACCTTTTGACCTCAAAATCAAGAGGGAACTTTTTTAAAATCATAGGAGTTCAGATAAAATTTTACTGTAAAAGCTAAAGGGCTTTCAGAGATATCATCTGAAAACAAAAGTGTTACAGACAGCAGAAAGCAGAATGAAGGACAGACAGATTGATGGATGGACAGAAAGATCAAAATTTAATTTCTCTTGCTTTTAGCAAAAGCAGGGGACGAAAAGCTCACTGAAGACTTTGGTGCAGGTGAGCTAAAATTTTACCATACTTCATATATGAACTGACAAATATTGATGTATATATAAAATAATCTTGGTACCTTCCCCTTGGTAGTGACTACCAAGGCATCAGTTCCTAATTCACCGCTAGCAGCATTGTCTACCTTCTCTACCAGTACCACTTCACGAAGTGGTATCACCACGGTAACCAGGTCACGAACCTGTTAAGAGGTAATTACCAGCATACAATCAGCAAAAGTACATTTATAAAATACATGTACATTGTATTTAAAAATTTTAAAAATGTACTGTAAGGTTCTATGTACTGCATGTAACCATCTACACTAATTAATGACAAGAGTACATTTATAAAGTACATGTATTTGAAAAATAAAATGCACTGTTGTTAAAAAAAAAAAAGCTCAGTAATGCAAGTATAATTATAATAGTACAAAATATAAATGCTAATTGAAATACAAGTAAAATTGTAGAAGATCAAAACAACATTTAATTTCTTTCCAAATACTATAGTTCCAATGACAGCATTTGTTATACAACACTTATAAATGTACTGAAGTATTGAAATAGAAAATAAAAGATTCCTGGGCTTTCACAGTCACCTGGGTATTAAAAGGTAATTTGTTTCTGAGAAAGACATCCTATACACAAAACCTACCTATATCTTTCTGTGCCCCATCTATTCAAAAGGACCAAATTCTGATCTATGTGTCTAAGAAAACTTCCACACTAATTTGATAATTTGAACCCTTATAATAGAAATTTTGTAGATTTTTCCCAATCATTACTTATGTTGAACTTGTGGCCCTATGGTTTAAACAATTTTGAACAGATCTACACAATTTTCCAATCAATTTTTGTCATTTAGAGTTGTGAAATTTTTAAATTATGCCACCCTGTTTTACTTTTTTTAATTATCTCCCCTTGGAAAGGGGCATTGACCTTCATTTGAATAGACTTAAATGCCTCTCACCTAAAGATTGTTTGAAATCAAGTTGGTTGACTTTGGCCCAGAAGTTATAAAGCAGAAATCGAAAAATCTGAAGTTACTCATGACACACACTAAATTAGGATACTATTAGAAAAACTGGAGGACAATATAATAGGTCACCTGACCAAGTGATTTAAAAAGAAAGGATAGTTGTTTTTAGATATGTTATGCTATTATTTAAAATGACTAGGCATTACAGTGACATTAATTGGTAATAGAACAAGTCATCCTTCAATGATGGAAAGATCTTCTTAATACATCATAGTAAAACTGAACCAAGCACATTCTGATATCCATTATAATATTGCAAACACTGACAAAGACTATACATCAAGGGCAAAAGTGAGTCTTACTTATGAATGAAAAATTGACAGTCTGGAGATATGATTTTATGCTAGAAAATTAACAAACTGACAAAGAGGAATGAGAAATGAAACAAAATCTGTATAAAAGTACAGCTGATCATGAAAAAGTAAGATGATTACAAAAAAAAAAAAACAGTACTCAAATATGCTTACACATTTCAAGAGATTTTCAAGAGGCTGGACCCCTTTTTACAGAAGAACTTACAACTAAGACCAATATGTAATTTTGCAAATAATTTTTCTTCTTTAATGCAATTAATTTGAAAATGGTATTATTCTTTTTTTTAAAAAGAGTCTTAAGGGATATTTTTATCAAAGTAATAATTAACAGAATGACTAATTTTACATTCAGCTGAAGTCTTTGGTGTATTAAGTCATAAGTTCTTTCGTAAAAATGTGCCCATACAGAACTGTTGAAGAAGATTCAGTGATGACTATGTGAATCAGTACCTGCCCCTCAATTATTGCATGTTCACGTCGAAGTTTACGTTTACGAACATGCCTCTGTGATGCTACCCCAGACTGGTCAATAATATCAACCTTGGAATAAGATAACTCAGTATTAATATTGTTGTGTTTTGAATGAAGGACAAGCTATGAAAAGGGTCAAATTTGGCCCCTCATTTGACATAAACGTCAAACCACAATTAGAAATGTCATAGAGATGTCGGTAATAAAGGACCATCAAAAATCTGAATCATTTCTGATTCAGAGCATACATAGAGGTCACCAAAGAGAGATGAATTAATTTCTTGGGTTCCTTAATTTTCATAAAGAAATGGGTATGTTTTTGGCTAAAAGGGGGGGGGGGGGAGAAAAAAATTGAGTGAGAAAAATTTGATACCTACATAACATAAAAAAGCAACTAATTTTTTCTTAGACTAACAGTTTCTTTGAGTGTTTTTGTTTCGATTATAAACACTGTATATATGTTATATATACATGTACATGTACCAATTAAGAAGAAAAAAGTGACAACTTGACATAGGTATTCCTTCAGTTTGAAATCCATCTGTGACCATTAATTTTTGTGACAAAGGAAATATTCTACATAAATACACAATTAAAATACCGGGGTAAATGGTTCATGGCAATAAATATTTATGAGTATAGGTAAATGAATGCAAAACTTGATACAGTGTAATATTTCTCCCATATTGTGAGATATTACTCATAAGATTTGTTACTGATTGTCTATGTAAATATATATCGAGTTGCTCAGTCTCACTGAGCCATCTATGACATTGATCAACCAGATATATTTCTGTAGATGGCAATAAGTGATTCATTTTCTCGAGGATAATACTCAAAGGGACAAATACAAAGTTTAACCATCACTGAATTTGTTAGGCGAAGGCCATATTACCATTATAAAATATCACCTACTGGACACAGAAATACAATTGTACAGTAGATAGTCACAAGTCACATACAGACCAAAGAACATGCGACATTACAGTTCCATGGTAAAATAAAAGTTGGTAGTCATAAGTCACATTTAGACCATTACATTTCAGTTTAAGGTAAAAAAAAAATAATAATTTTGGCTGAAAGTACCTTCATCATAAAGGAAAATATTCACAATAATGCAGACACATACTAAATACAAAACAAAATGTCCCTCCTTCTTTTCAGATATGTCAAACAATGATTTTATCCAGAGACTCACCCTGCTCGCAAAGCAGATATAGCTACTGGAGAGGTACAGACGTCCCCATGTGTGCTGCTTATTATAGGGGGTCCACAGGACACAGTCTGTGTCCCCATCCAACTTCTCATCCAGGGGAAGACAAAAGGCTGACCTATAAATAGAAAATTCACAGACATACTACATTTAAAATTAATAAAAAGAAGGATATGTCTCCAGTCATATGATGTCCAGTCTAGACGCCTTCTCCAAAACAAAAAGGTTGGGTTCAATATACTAAATTTATGAAGAACATTGATCTCCACACAAATTTCATGACAGGATTTCCCAGCTATTGTGTTATATTTTGCGGCTAATAAACTGTCATGATATTTTTGAAAAATTGATACAAATAGGTTTTCAAATATCAAAAAATGCCATGGTGCAAGTTCATTTGTCTGGTTTCTTTACAGTTAAAAACACTGATGACTACATATAAACTTTCAACAAAGCCTTATTTTAGGGTTTTTTTGACATAACATTCATCTTTAAAACATAATGGGGGAATAGTGGATTGCTTTAGTTGTATAAAGTTTGACTTTGGAACTTAGTGTTGAAATGCAATATCTTTTATCATTCAAATGGCATAAATTGTGCTAAAATCGAAATATAAAGAGCTCATTAATGTTATAGTAAGGGAAATTAGGGTAAAAGGGAATTTGTAAACGAATGTTATTGGAAAGGAACTTTTTGTATTCAGTTTTTGTCTTGATGTTGGCTCCAACACAAGTTACTCCAAGGGTGATGGGTTAGTCAAATTGGTCAAAGGGCAGAAATTATATACTCCATAGGATTTTCAAAGAAATCTGCTTTGACCTTGACCTGTGACCTAGAAACTTAATGGCTAAAGGTCACTGTTCATCCTTATCCCAAAGACACTCTTTCTGTTCAGTAAAAGCCAAATTGGGCAAGAGGAGAAATTATGTTCTGGACAATAATTTTATAGAGACCTAATTTGACTTTGACCTCTGAGTCACCAACATCAAGGTCACTGTTAAATACAAGATAAAATGGTACAAGGGCAGATATGCACATTCAAAACAAGATTTTAAACAAAAATCTATTTTGACAACATTTGTATCCTTACATTTACAAAACTGAGTTGCTGCACTTCAGAAAATGTTTAGCTTTATTCCTTGACTCATGTGTAAGAACATCATCCAATTTTAGTCTTACTTGTTATGACTAAATAATAAACTTTCATGTCACACAATTTACAAATAATTTACAAGTAAGTGTATAAATATAAATCAACCCTTTCCCATATCAAACCAAGCCTAATGTGCAAATTGAAAAAAAAAAAAATTAATCCCCATTGCATGATGCTGCTGCTTTCTTTATATTTTTGCCCTTTTTAATAGTACAGTTGTATAACATTAGATACAAATGTACTTTTGTTAAGAAAAGACCCTGACCTACTCTCCCTATGTGGCCACCAATATGGTCCTTATGGGACTTTCGTACAAGCCCGCTGGAAGGGATGTAGCCTTAAATATTAGTTTAAACTTGAATTTTCTGCACTCAAGATTGTTTTGATGAAAGCTTGTCTGAAATTAGCTAGGTAATTCCAGAGAATGGAAAATGTGAAAAGTTAACAACCGCTCGACAAACAAGTGAGGAGAAAGGGCTCCTATGGGTTAAAAACAACAAAATAAGGAGTTGAACAGACTTGAATACAGTCATTCTCTGGGTCTGTGGGGTGGATAATTACCTGAATGCATCACTTCTAGCTCTGGCATCAAGGTCTCTCTTTATGGATGACATTCGCTTTGGTGTCCTTTTCCTACATAAAAAAAAAAATCATTTGAAACAACATATTTTCATCTTCACATGTTTCACAAGTGTTTATTGCGAGCAAATTAACAACTAAGCATGCTTACAGTGTACAGTGCTAAACTATACAGTCAACAGCATTTTAATATCTGAATACTTTAACTTTTCTATCTATAATTTAAATATGTATCAAAATTGTGCTCAAATAAAGTTAAGCACTATCAAAAACATAACTGGACAGCTAATACATGTAATATATGTTCTTGTTGAGAGAGAGAGAGAGAGAGAGAGAGAGAGAGCTCACTTAGTTCTGTCAACAATTGTTTTGTCCTCCTCAAAGCCTCCCTCCTGCATCAACCTGTTAAGCAAATATTTAAAGTATATATACATGGTTACTGTCTTCATACAGACTGATATATAAAAATAGGTAAGAAAACATACATGTATTTAACAAGATGCTTGTGAAACTCAAATACCCCCACATAATGAAATTGAAATCATTACAAATATGACCAAGCTAGAGCTGTCTTGTTACACTTCCAGGGCATTTTCAAAACTGTGCATCTCATGAGCCTTGACACTCACCTGAGTAACATGAAATTCTCAAGATATGGCCTTTTTGGCCTCACTTGGAACTGAAACTCTGGACCCATGGGATGAAATTTTTACTGTTTGGTGAGGATTCTATAATCATTATCTTAATTATGCAGCTTGTCTCCTAGAAGCTCAAGAAGATGAGGTACACGGTATAATTCAGTGTATACTTCAATATATGACCAACTTAGCCTCACTATGGGGTCGAACCATGGACCCAGGGGCCATAAATTTCACAATTTTGGTAAAAGGCTGAGTATTCAATTTAATCATGCAAACAATCTGCCTGCACAAGGATTTTATAAGATATAATGCATTTTCAACATATGACCAACTTAGCCCTACCCTGAAATCTGAACCCAAATTCAGGGTCATAAATTTCACAATTTTGATAAAATCTCATTGCTTATTAAAAACATGCCAATAGTTTGACTGCTTTATGTCCTGGAGTATAGATTTTTGAACATCACTTTAATTTCAATGATTTTGGCCCTAACCCCTTGGTGTTATTAATTATATGTTATTTTTGCCCAATGACCCTTGTAAATGATTTCACCCCATTTTAAATTCATCCACATACAGTTGCATCAAGAGAGGTATAAAAGCTTCACCTGTTGAATTCTCCCCACTTTTTTCATTCAACCAATGACAGAGGTCTGAGAGGAGAAGCAGAAATAAAATGGGGACAAAAATTTCCCTCTATATCATACACTGTATTATATTTTCTACTAAAATACTTATAGAGTCTTAAATTTAATAACTCAACCACTTACTGTTTCATAGCCATATTGGCCAGCTGTTCCATTAGCCTGAAGGTTTCACTGCTGCGTAGAAGCATAGAGAACACATACTGCAAAACATTTAATAACAATAAATAACCATAATAACAATAAATAACAATAATAACAGTAAATAACAATCATTTCTCCTGATACACCATGTCCAAGAATAGCAGTTCGTATATATCAGAATCTTTTAATACCATCTTAAATTTATTGGTAATTTTCTTAGTCTATGAACAGGACTCATTTTTTTGATAGAGTAATAACCAGTTTATTTTAACTTGAACATAAAGAAATCAATGGAATGTTCATATTTATTTTTACATTAACAAGTCAGCTGTTCTGACTTTAATTTTTAAATTGTATTTTTCTTTTTAGCAAAGATTTACCTCCCCTTCCCTAGTTGACACCTTGATGCTTTCAGGAAAAAGCATGTTGTTACCCTTTTCCAATTTCTGTAAAAAGTAAATTAGATATATATATGTACCTGGGTACAGAATTTAATGAAATGATTTCAGGAAAAGAAAGATAACTCTTATCCATTTAGAGCATGTCATTGACCATTTTAGCTAGTGTTTCTGATCTGTTCCACTCTTCTCAAACCCTTGACCAATCATGCCATCAAAGGTTAGAGTTTGATTTTTAATATCAGAATAAATTTGAACAAAGACAAGGACATTATAATCTCATATAAATATAATTTATATCATAAGTAAATCATAAATAAAGTTAGCACATAGAAATGTTTGGTTTGATTTAGTACTAATATATTTAAAGTAGAAGCCAGACTTGTACATCATTTCAAAATCCTTACCACTGTTTCAGCACACATTTGTGGCAGAGATATAAATAACAAATATTTGCAACTCCCCCATTAATGGGTGCATTTGCTTTGTGCCTGAGCTGGCATTATTCTGGAAACTTCTCATTTTTGTCAAAACTCTGGAGAGACAAAGCCACAGGGCTCAACATTAACTTTTGACCAATTTTCCGTGTCCAGTTCAATTTGCAATCAGACAAGTCAATCCCCAGACACACCTGTCCAATCAGACAAGCTACATTTTGTACCATTATGGAATATTGTGAATATGAAAAAGAAAATTCATTGAAGAATTCATTAAACACTGTAACATTGTCACTTTTACTTTAAAAATCTCTGACAACATGCAGTGTTACAATTTTACGGGCTCAGTATCATTTCATCGGATATCATTAATGGACCAGGGCGATCAATACTGTTACAGACAGTTCTACAGAATAATCAGGGATATTGTCATGATTAAACAAAATCTTTATAAGTCAATATTATTTCTTCTTCCATACATGTGATAATTTTTAGACCCAAACACTGTACAGGAGTCTTCAAAATACTGGAATTTGGGTGAAAATACTGTACATTGTTCATCAATAAACTTTACAAACGCTGTACAAAATATTGACCAAAAATCAATGCAAGAGGTTCCTTTTTTATTAATAAATTTCAAATCAACGAACAAGTGTACCATATTGCATGCAGTAAAACTAGCGAAGTCCTGGGGACTTGTGAATTTAATTCGCTATATCCGTAATTCGTTATATCCATATAACGAATTTGTATACATATATATAGTGAATTCGCAATATACTCATTTTCCTTCAAGTATTACTACCAAATATGTTTAGGAAGCAATTATTATAAAACATACCTTTGATAACTAAGGTTTTATTATGAATTGAAATTTATATACAAATACTTACCGAAAATAAAGTCAGTTCAATGTATCAAATTTTGAGGTCTTTGAAAATTCATTATAAAAAATATAAATTTAATCATTTTTAACATCTATGGGACTGAAAATCAGTTCAATATATACATAAATCTGTTATCATATCAGAGTTCATTATAACCGTAAAATTTTACAAAAAATTGATGAGAATTTTGCTGGGGACCCCGAAAAACTTCGCTATATCTGTGATTTCGCTATATCTGTGTTCGTACTAAACAAGTTTTACTGTACTCATTTCAAAAAAACTTTTGCAGCTTTTAGAATTTCAGCAATTCCCATGATCAATGCTGAATTTGGTAAAAGACTTCCATAGTACAGGGTTTAATGCAAGAGTCTGGTTGTCTCCAGTCACCTGCATTTATTTTTTTCTCAATGATACTACAAGCATTTCTCTGTGTTAGAATGGACAATACTTATGCCTTAGCAGAGCAAAAAAAAAGTCTTGGATTAAATTTCGTGTTGTTGTCACACAGTTGCTCTGATTATTGACATTTTCTCTTTGAAACGTCTTGAATTTCTACTGACAAAATTTTAGCTAATTACAGTTGAAAAACCTGGCCCTTAATAATATTTATGAAAAAATATTTTGCCTAACAAAAAGCTTTGTTATGTTTTAATTAAAATGTAATTATCACGGGAATGTTTCACACCTTTCATCTTGATGTTTTGTTTACATTAACAAAGTGCAGTAAGTCACTAATTAAATGAGATTTCTGGTGTTATGAGAACGAGAATTAAAGAAAAATGGTGGTTTCCGGTAAACAATTCAAACTAAATTTTCATTTCCCATGAATTTTGGTGTACCGCAGTGAGCCTGTGAATAGTGTCAAAAATATGTGACATTTTGTGTACAGCCAGTACATATCACAGGTATGTTCTTCAATCTTGAAAATAAAACCTTATAAATTCCTTTTAATTTGTTTAAATTCGACAAGTTAAAAAAGAAATTCAGACAAGTAACATTTAATTTTTAACAACTTGTCCAATGGACAAGTATTTTTATTAAATGCTGAGCCCTGATCTATATCGCCATCCTGGATACTCCTATAAAGCATGATTAGTGATGACCTTGACCTTAAACTACCCCTGGTAACTAATGTCTGATGAGAAAATTGTTCAAATAACATAACTTATTTACTGTGACATCAATGTATCATATATCAACCTTCAACTGTTCATATATTTATTTCCTGTGATATTACATATATCTATGTGACCTTGACCCAAATTTTTAACTTACTGTAATATCTGTCCACCTTATGATGACCTTGGCCTCTTTACCCATCAGAAAGGAGTAGAAACACAGGTGATTGACACTAAGGTACATCCAGCCCTGACGAGGAATATTATTCTTCCAAAGGCTGCAGGAATATTCTGTTTACAAACACATAAAAAATATCAAATCTAAAAATTTCTGTCTTGTTAACAGACATATGTTAAATACACAGGTACTTGTGGACAGGACCCCCTCCCCCAGATATTCAAGACGGGGCTTGTTGGACTTTTTTAACAAATTATATTTATTACACTTATTTATCATGTGTACCATAGGAAAATAATTGTTCCACACAAAATATACAAAAAATAAATATAATTTGTGAAAAAAAGTCCAACAAGCCATAGGGTTGAATATCAGGGAAAGGGGGGATGGTTCTGTCTATAAACACCTGTGGTAAATATCAAAAACGTGCTTCATTCGGTTTTTTTAAGTATTTAAGAAAATATAGGAGTATATTTATGGTATATTCCAATAGTATAATTAGGTAACATTTGTCTCAGATTCAAGTGAATTGACCTATTATTATTCCAGCTTCTCAAAGTGAAAATTATTTAAGGAAAATTCAAATAAGAAATAAAATGTCTAACGGTTAACAAGCTTTTCTTCCCGCGGCATGTTGAACAACTTCATGAATTTCCTGGTTGACGTTTTATAATTCTGAGCCTCTTCATCCACAACTGAAAATATGTGCACTCTATTAACATTGTTAAAATTAACCTCGACCTTAATGTATCAAAAATATAGGAAGGAGGAAAACAATTCCATGATTGTATACTCAATAATCATTGTAGCTTCAATGGAAGAGTCTGTTTTATACAATGAAAGTTATCTACAGATCTGTAGCTCAAAGGCCTGCTAAAATTGGGATGGACAACCAGAGAGTTTTTGGTCATCCATCCCAATTTTTCCGATCAGCAACCTATAGATCTGTAGCTACAGTGAAACCTGCTTATAGAAAACATACTGACTCAAGAATTTTTATTGCCTAATTTTACTGTACTTGACCTTTAACTATTTCTTTTAACTAACCTTCCCCAGGCTTGTGTTCGTGAGTATACATGCTCTCAATTTTACACTTCACAAATTCAGTGGCATCCTCCTCATTTTCAAATGCACCTAAAACACAAGAAATAGGCAGTGATTTAATATTGAAATCAATTTATAATACAAACACTGCTTTATCTAACAGTTTATTTAAGTATTTTTGGCACTTGTCTTCTTCCACTAGTTCATGCATTTGTTAGATTTGTAACAAGATGAATAGCCTACATTTCAACTAGGACAACTCAAACATCATTATTTAGAATACTTGGAACATTTTGTAATGAGTTGGGAATCCTGACCTAATTATCATTAATCAATCTCTAACAGGTAGGGCACAAACATATTTCACTACAATACATGTAGCAGTATTTCACCCCAATAGCAATATTACAGTCACATTATATTTACTACGAGTGAAATGATTCACCTAGGTATTGACATTCATTGCGGTATTTTTTTTTTTGTCAGTTTGATACATAGTAAAAAATCTTCCATTTTGATTTAGTTTACTTTTTGATTAGGATCATTATTTAATCAGATTTAGCATTCATAAAAATGCTACACAGCAATTATGAAATTTTCAAAAGTTATTCTTAAAGAATAATAGTTTATTATTAATTATTCACGGTGAATTCATTTTAGTCAATTTCTTCTTGTCAATAATAAAGTATGTTTTAAGTAAAACAAGACATAAAGCAACTTAGATTTTGTTTCCTTCAATCAAAATGTATCACATTGAAAATATCTGTACATGACCAACTTGTACGATATGTATCATATGATGAAGGAGGCGTATCATTTTATCCCTAATTCTTACAGGAAATGGTTGACATTTGTCTCACCAAATCAGCTAGGATCAGTATGAATATGTGCAAATCTTTGATCTCACAATTTAAGATTATTCTTACTTTCCATTGGTGCATTTCTTTTCACCAAAGCACATTTTTTTTATGGAAGTTGCAATTTTCCCTGCAGCCCATCAGTTATTTCTTAATTAATGCTAATGATTCAAGTTGTATTTCACATGTGTGTGCAAAACCATGCTTGACTGTGGAATTCTGTTAATGTTTACATTAATAACTTCTGATTATGATATTACTGAATATCAAATTTTATATGCATCATTAGAAAACTATAGTAGGTCTTACTTCTCTTGCCAAAGGTTTTCTTGCCCATGTTTTGAATTATTTATTGAATACTAAGTTTGTTTTTAGTTATGGTAGTCACTGAACCAGGGTTGTCCCTAAGACCTGGGGGCCGGGGAATTTCCCTGCCTATAATTACATAATCTCCTGGTTATTCTGGTATTCCTCCTCAACTCCCAGTTAGGGGAGGAACCCTAGACCCCCTCCTACATTTCTAATGTCCCCTGCTATTTCATTTCTTAGGGACAACCCTGCTGAACTCTCACAACTTACCAAGTGTCTCCATCAGATTCTGTTCTATCCATTCCCAGTCTTTATGTATTTCTACTTTGTTATTTGCTACTGCCACACCTTATTAATAAAAATAATACTTTCTACAGATAACTGAAATCATCAAATTAATGGTACCATGGGAACACAAAGTTTAACATAGACTTTATTTTTACATACAACATGTATTCAGTTGGGGACATTTTTATTAATCATTTTCATATAGTTTAATATACTAAACTTGTGCAACTGGACAAAATATTTTCGAGTGTAAATGTTTGCTCTACTGGTGTTGTTAAAAATATCATTTTTTTCACTTTTTGTAGAAGATCTTGATGGAGACGCCACTACTTGCCGGTGGAGAGCTGCAAATTTTGTCCTATACTTGGCACTTATGGCCATTGAGCAGTGAGGGATCTTTTTCGTGCCAGCACCTACTGCGACACGGGACCTCGGTTTATACGGTCTCATCCGAAGGACGGGTCTCCACATCCCACAGTGGGATTCGAACCCGCGACGTAAGGATCAACTCCTTACTCCGCGACTCTAGAGCAGACACTCTAACCACTGCGCCACGCGGGCGACTACAGGTGTATGAGAGAGGAATCAATAATAACATAGTTCTAGAAATTGACAGATTTGTTACATACATTTGTATAATTACTATATCCCAAATTATGTATCAATTACACTCTTCTCCCTAAAATTAAAAGTTCAGTACTTACTATAGCTAATCTCTGAACCTGGGGTCTGATGTAAAATTCTATATGGTGGAGTCTGAAAAAAGGTTCATAAAGCATTGAAATTATTCTTACATACATGTACTTGAAATATTTTTCCCTTTTCACTTTAAAAGTCAATGGGCAAATTTAAAACGAACTTGATTGACAAAGCACAAGTCTCAAGTGGAGAAAAGGCTTTATAAGTAAATTCAACATGTCTTAAAATAAAATAATTAATACTTTGTCCTTTTAATGCATTTGGCCTTTTGAATATAAATATTGGGATGAAATTTCTTTTCTGGTAGTAGGTACACAAAATTTTACATAAACTATCTTTAAAGTAAGACAATAGAACACACTAACCTTGCTATCCAACACTGTGTCCAGTGTCCCTACTAACAGCCCCGTAAGTCCACCCCCTCCATAACCCTTCCTCCTCTGAAGGATAAAGAAAGGGTTGGCCCTCTCTGTTACCCTGCAATGTAATCAGTGTTTCAGTCTTGTCTTAAATTACTTACTCAACTTTTAAAACTGAATTATTTTTTTTTTATAAATTGCTGTTTAATATACATGTTTACATATTTATCAGATCACTATGCAGTTAATCTCATGTAAAATTTTTGGGGAAAAAAAATTCTTGGTATTGTACAAGCAAGTATTACTATTCTTGCTGTGCCATGAACCATGACATGGGTCTCTGATCAGTGCAAGTCTGATTGACTTTCAGACTTGACCATTTTGTCTTATACCCACAAAACTTTTAAGGTTTAAACCTGCATCACCTGATGACACAATCCATTTATTTTATTCAAACAGCGGTGTGAAATATGCATGCAACATGTACAATGGCCCATTTGTAAAATTTTTAAAAAATTCCAAAAAAAAAGAAGAAAACTGCTTGATAAAAAGAAGTTGCCTGTTCTTATAAAAAGGAAGGAAGTCACCCATCCTCCCACCCCCCTTTCACTAATACATTTTCTTTTCTTTTTTTTCCTAACGACCAAAAGAAATGTAAAGGCAACGTTAATCTAACTATTACATAAAAATAAACAATACTAGAGACATCTTTATAATAAAAATAAAGCTTTGTGTCTATATCACTACTGTCAGATTGCTAAATTGATAACGTGTAAGTGTCCAACTTTAAATCTTATTGTCATTTCCTGTTCCTACAAATTTTACACCATCAGCATCTATTTTTTAGTTACCACAGTGCATTGGCTAATAAAACTTCCTCCGGTTTGACCCACATTCTTCTTGCCGATTTAATTCATGCTAAAGCTGAGACAACTACGTTTTTTCATACGACTTCCACGGTTGCAGAATCGTCAGCTGACTGCCATGTTTGTTTACGTTTACTGTCTAAACTGGTCCTCATTTACAAAAGAGAGGGAAAAAAATGATCCTCATAAATTTTTTATTCCCTTTTTTTCTGGCGGTAAAAATTTTGGGTCATTAATTTACAAAAAATGCATAATATTTTTTATTTATTTCTGAATTTGTTAGATCGTACGTAAAATCAAAATGCTATTTATAAATTACTTTATTTTTAAAGGTTCCTTTTAAAATTTAAAAAAGTGAAATATGTTTCTTCTACTTTTGGCTACAATGATGTGTTGTGTAAATAAATATTGCATAAATACTGAAAATGATTCTTTGAAACCGAGTAGTTTCATGTACAATGTTCAAAAATTCAAACTGAAAGTTAGACTGGCTTGCCTGTCTGATATGCGCGATATACAGACATGTGACCAGTAATGTAAAGAGCCCTCTGCTGGCCGCGCTCATTGGCTGATAAAAACTCTTGCCTACGTAGAAATTTAAATGTGTCGGGGAAACCAAAACAGATCACAGAGTGCAGAGATATCGGCCGTTATATCGTTACCTTAAATTCTCCATGCGTACAAAAGCTGCATTGGAAAAAAATAAACCGTGAGGGATGTTTTGAAACAAATCATGAAAGTATTGACACTAGTTATAATTTGCTTTTGATGCAATCAATCTAATACGGTCACAATACTTTCCACATACAATACAAATATTCCCTTTTTCAGATTTAGTTTAACACAAGTGTTAACATTTCACCAGGGACCTATATACTATATACTTAGTATAGGCCTATAGGTCCCTGATTTCACTCACACATTTCGCTTCGCCTGAAGGTATTTTAATTAGCTTGCGAAGCTCCTATCACATTACATACCATACATTACTTGGATAAACGAAAACTGCAACATTTGTTAATTGAAACTGACACATTTTAAACATTCATCCAGCAGATAGCCGTGACTTATCAGTTTATTGTGATTATTTCCCATGCTAGGGCGTAGAGCAGCGGCGATAGATGGCGCATCAATCAAGCCAGGAATTCCTGGCTTAGATGGCGGTAGTCACCTGTCTCTTTCGAACGATAGAGACAGGCAATACCAGTCTAACTGAAAGTAGACGTTAAAAAATTATTGCGTAAGACGCTGTGAGGTAATATTTTGAATTTACATGTTTTTATTTCTACAATTCATAATTTAGTGTTCAGATCGTAATTAAAACATCATTAGATGTATAGAAATACGTGAAATTATCATGTGTTTACAATAAGTTTGATTTTCTATCGACGTTTCACAAGAGAAGGAAAGGTAACCAATTATTCTGTTATTTGCATGAAAGCTATCCATATAGCCTAATATGTTGACAGTGCGACCGTTTTAAAACAATTGTGTTCCCAAGCAAATTGTCCGGATTAATGAAGTATATGGGTTAGTGAGACATACTCTGTACTTGGTTTACACATGTCTGCTATCCCCTACTACCCAAACTCCGTCACCATAAGCGGAAAACACGCCTGGTTACTCTCTGAATTATTTTTTGATTTGTTTCTTGTTTGCTACGCTTAGCAATGAACTTAAACATTGTTTTCAGAACTATTTTAAAAAAATCAGTTATCGGGCTTATACAAAATGCTATAAATAGAACTAGTATCACATCCGTGTACGTTACGTCCAGTGACCCCTAACTTCGTCACCAGGGCCCTCTACAATATGTCAGCGTATTAATTAGAAATTTTTTTCCAGTTTAGCTTTTCTTCCCTTCATCTTAAAATTGTAAACATCGAAAATTAGTTTTGAAGATTTAAAATAGTATTAAATTGTATTTTAGGAAAAGTATCGACAACAGAAAAAATAACGTTAATTTAACGTATTTTATATGTAATAACGTCACGCTACGGTTGTCAAATCAAGATTACTCACCTGCCTTTCCAATCAAATTCTTGGATCATTGTTCAAGAAAAACTTTAAATTTATCTATCTTCATGATTATATACTGTTCTTTTGATTGAACATGTTTTGTTCAATTTGGTTTCAGTAATGGGATTAAACTCTTCACGTCTGCCAACAACTTTGTCTCACCCTCAAGCCAAGTTAGTTCAGCAGGCCATCTCACAAAACTGTGTGGTCATTTTCTCCAAGACAACATGTCCTTTTTGTGTGCAGACGAAGGAGATCTTCAAAAACCTCGGGATACCATATGAAGCAATGGAGCTCAACAAACATCCTGATGGTCAAAATATACAGAGCTACCTCGCAGATATCACAAAGGCCAGAACAGTAAGTGAGAAGCCCATTATTTGATAATGTATATACACTTGCTTGAAATTGCTTTTATAAATATTCAATATAAATATTTTATCTTCAACTCTGTCAGTTGTGTAATCTTCGTAAATGCTTTAATTATAATGCTAAGATGGTTTATGTAAAGTTTGTTTGAACAGTTCCACATTTTGAAGAGTACCTAATAGTTCAGAGAACTAAGAGGTGATAATGAACTTAAAAATGTAAAAATATATTGATACTTATTGTTTGAAGACTTATTAATGTTCATTTGAACTTGCAGTGTTTTTGTTTTTTGCTGTCAATTTTTGTATTATATTGGGTATGAATAAGTTGATTTATTATCTCAATGCAATGAATCAACATGACCATGATCACAGAGAAACATTTGTGTGCCAAAAATTTTCTGTCAGCACCCTGATTTTTCACATGTAACAACATTGCAGCTATGAAAAAACTTTAAATTAAATGGCTATTTACATGGGTAAATTGTACAAGTATAAATTTTCTGAAATATCTGAAGTTATGAACAAATGATAAGTTTCAGAAATGTATGAACAGACAAAATGCATGTGGAAATATGAAGGTGTAAAAAATGTTTCTAAATTCCACCTCTTTCTATCTTTCATTGTAAGGTACCTAGAGTTTTTATCAATGGAACCTGTATTGGTGGAGCAACTGAAACAAAGTCTCTGCATCAATCAGGACAACTTCTGGAATTAGTGAGCAAGTGCCATAACCCCCAATTGGAACAAGTTCGGAGATGATTTATACAGACTACCCACTAGTTGTTGAATATTTATATATTATAATTGTTGTATTTTGTATTAAAAAAAAGTTCTTAGTTCTTGCAAGAAGAAAATGAAAATATGAAATAAAAACATCTTTATAGTTTAATCTGCTGTATAAAGTATTTAAATTGTTTTGACAGAAATTTGATACAACTATAAACAGCTCATCAGGCTTCTGTATGGCTATTTAGAGGGTATGATGGCTTTTCATACAGGGCTATTTAGTATGATGGGTATTTACAGGATATGATGGGTATTTACAGGATATAATGGGTATTTACATGATATTATTAATCACTTTTTACAGGATATGATGGCATTTTATTATTGTCTATCTACAGGGTTTGATGGTTATTTTAAAGGTATGATGGCTACTTACAAGGTATGATGGCTATAACTATTTTGTATTTACATGGTATGATATTTCTTTGATGTTTTATTATTGTCTATCTACAGGGTTTGATGGTATTCAAAGGGTATAATGGCTATTTACAGGGTATGATGGCTTTAACTATTTAGTATTTGCATGGTATGAGAGCTATTTACAGGGTTTGATTGCTATTTACAGGATATGATGGTTATTTAGTATTTGTAGGGTATTATGGCTGTTTGAGGAGTGTAATGGCTAGGCTATTCATACAAGGCTATTTATGGAGTATCATGGGTACTTACAGGATATGATGGGTATTTACAGGTTTTATAGTTATTTATAGGGTATGATGGGTATTTACAGGATATTATAGCTTTTTACAGGGTATGATGGCTTTTTAGCTCACCTCCACCAAGTCGAGATGAGCTTATGCTATACCGTTGGCGTTGGCGTCGGCGTCCCAGTTATAGTTTTAGGAGCAAGTCTATTCCCAAGTAACTATAAGCCCTACCTGGACCAAACTTGCATGGATGATGCATCTAGGGATGGACACTACCAGACTTGCTTCGGATGCTGGATCTGACCTACATTTTCCAGATGAGTGACCAGGTTAAAGTTTTTGGAGCAGGTGCATTCCCAAGTAACTATAAGCCCTACCTGGACCAAACTTGCACGGATGATGCATCTAGGGATGGACACTACCAAACTTGCTTCGGATGCTGGATCTGACCTACATTTTCCAGATGAGTGATCAGGTTAAAGTTTTTGGAGCAGGTCCATTCCCAAGTAACTATAAGCCCTACCTGGACCAAACTTCCATGGATGATGCATCTAGGATGGACACTACCAGACTTGCTTCGGATGCTGGATCTGACCTACATTTTCCAGATGAGTGACCAGGTTAAAGTTTTTGGAGCAGGTCCATTCCTAAGTCATTATAAGCTCTACCTGGACCAAACTTGCATGGATGATGTATCTAGGGATGAACACTACCAGACTTGCTTCGAATGCTGGATCTGACCTACATTTTCCAAATGAGTAAACATGACAATGTGTTTGGAGTAGCTCTATAATTATATGGCCTGTTATGATTTAACTTGCATAGATGGTGCATTCCAGACTTGCTTTGGATGTAGGAAATGAAAGACATTTTCTTGATTAGTGAACAGGTTTAAGTGTTTGGAACAGGTCAATTCCCAAAGAACTATAAGACCTACTTACACAGAACTTGCATGAATATTGTTTTCAGGGTGCACACTAACTATAAAGAAAATATGATGTGAGATTTGCATTACTTTTACTGATAACATTTGTCGAGGTGAGCTTCGTAATCTTTGATTACCTATGTTTAGTATATACAGGGTCTGATATCTATTTACAGGGTTATTTAGTTTTTATAGGGTATTTCAGGGTAATATGGGTATTTACAGGGTATTGCGGCTTTTTACAGGATATGATGGCTTTGATGTATTTACAGGGTATGATAGCTATTTAGAGAGTTTGACTGCTATTTACAGACAGGAAATGATGGCTATTTACAGGATATGATGGCCATTTACAGGGTATGGTGGCTATTTGCAGAGTTTGATAGCTATTTAAAGGGTATGATGGCTATTTACAGGGTTTTATGGCTATTTACAGGATTTGATGGCTATTTATTTTACAGGTCTGACGTTTATTTACAGGGTTTGATTGCTATTTACAGGGCATGATGGCTATTTACAAGATATGATGGCTATTAAGAGGTTATGGCTGTTTACAGAACTATATAAATGGATTATAGCTATGTACAGGGTATTATGGCTATTTACAGGATGTGATGGCTTTTTATTGGGTATTATGACTATTAATGGGGTATCATGGCTTTTCAGGATATGTTGGCTATTTAGTGTTTACAGAGTATTATATCTATTTACAGGGTATTATGGCTATTTACAGTATATGATGGCTGTTTACAGAGTATTATGGCTATTTAAACAGGGCTATTCAGTATTTATTATACCCCATGCAACAAGCTGCGTGAGGTATAATGTTTTTGACCCATCCGTCAGTCAGTCAGTGTGTCAGTCAGTCAGTCCATCAGTCTTGTTTTTTTGTCAGTGCAACTCCTCATAAACCGTTGCACAGAATTTGGTCAAACTTTGCAGATATTTAAGACACAATGTGTAGATGTGCATATTACCAGGAAGTTCCGATTCCATTATTTTTTCTGGGAATTTCGGCACTTTTCAACTTAGATTTTTGGCCATATCTTGAATATAGAGATGAACAGTTTGTCAGTGCAACTCCTCTTAAACCGCTGCACAGAATTTGGTCAAACTTTGCAGATATTTAGGACACAGTGTGTAGATGTGCATATTACCAGGAAATTCCGATTCCATTATTTTTCTGGGAATTTTGGCACTTTTCAACTTAGATTTTTGGCAATATCTTGAATATAGAGATGAACAGTTTGTCAGCGCAACTCCTCTTAAACTGCTGCACAGAATTTGGTCAAACTTTGCAGCTATTTAGTACACAGTGTGTAGATGTCCATGTTACCAGGAAATCCGATTCCTTTATTTTTCTGGGAATTTCAGCACTTTTCAACTTAGATTTTTGGCCATATCTTGAATATAGAGATGAACAGTTTGTCAGCGCAACTCCTCTTAAACTGCTGCACAGAATTTGGTCAAACTTTGCAGATATTTAGTACACAGTGTGTAGATGTGCATGTTACCAGGAAATTCTGATATCATTATTTTTGCCTTAAGAGTTTTGCCTATTATTGAAGAAACTTTCCAGCTAGGTAATAAGGAAATCCACTGGAATCAACTTTTGTAATGAAATTTTATGTGAAATATTTTATGACTTTAAAAGACCCCTATTGATTTTGAGATCAAAATATTAATGATTTAATACACACACACACAAAATCTTGGTTAGTTCTCACCCCCCACCCCCACCCCCTCCCCAAAATTGGTGCTTTGCCTTAAATAATTTCATAAGTACAGTATATAAACAAACTCATATGACTACATCATAATTTTGTTTCCATCAATTATTTAAATGTGTAAATTGTCATGTGTTGCACATGGACTTGCACTCATTAACAAATCGAAACCACTGAGGAATTTAAATAACAGTTTGTCAGCATAACTCCTGCACTGAAGTTCCTGAAACTTTGTAGGTATTTCAGACATAATGTATAGATTTGTGTATTACCAAGAAATTTTGATTCCATTATTTATCTAGAAACTTCAGCCCAATTAAATTTGTAACATACAAAGATTTGAATGACCTTATATGCAAGAAGTTTTGATGTGATGATTTTTTGCAAGTAATGCCCCTTTTTGAATTATACTGTGTATTTAAAATGCACTGTACCATTCATTACGTGTTGCATTGTCGAGTTTTGGGGGAGCGTGGAGTATGTGAGCTTGCTCACTTTTTCTTTTTGTGAACGGTCGATAGAGGATGCTTGTACTTCTCATAGGCATCTGATCACACCTCAGGTGTTTCCAGGGGTCTGTATTTTGACCTGTTCAGGATTCGTTTTTTACTGGATTTATGAGATTGATAACTTCGTTATCTTCACCTTTAACATTTCTAAAAAAAAAAAAAAAAAAAAAGAGAGAGAGCAACGATTCGATTAAATAGATCATTCTTAAATTTATGGCTATATTGAATTAAAGATATCGTTGATTATTTCTCTCTGTAGAAGATCTGATGCGCACATTAATTGAATAATTCAACTAAAGAGTTCAATAATATCACATCCAATTCCATTTGAATTGGAGGCTTTTATCAAAGAAAGTGTTCATTTCCCATATAATACAATTATATAGATCCGCCCGTTAAGTTTTATTAACAATTAGAGTTATTCCCCCTGAGTCTACTTCCGTTAACCCCCCTTTTCATTCAAAGACTCAATGAATGAGGTTGGTGCAAATTTAAAGGGCAATTTGTTGCAGATTAAGATAAGTTAGGAAAATAGTTAATGCATGTTATACAGGTATATGTTTTTGTTATCTATTCGGTTGTTGTCTGCTGCAATCATTTTAGGCGTATTTATTAATGATTTCCCGATGATCCTTGATTTTATCTCTGCCAATTTTGCTAGCGTCTTGTGGCCATCTTGTATTTAGTCGACCACTTGATAATTTAGTTATCACTTAAACAGTTTCACACTGCTCAACGCGTTATCGGCTATTCGGTTGTTATCGGGTATTCGGTGGATAACAACTTTTGACAGGTTAGTAAATTGTTGCAAATAAACATTGTAATAATAGAAACAGAGACTGTTGATTGTGCTTTTTGTGAACAAGAATGAATACAGATACAAAATAAAGCCCCAATATGTCTTATTATAGTATTTGTGAGTCTTGGGAAGACTTTAAAAGTCAAATTTGTTATATTTTGCAAGTTTTTGTCCGATTGGCATTGCTGCATATAGCCTTTTTCTTCAAAATCCTTATATTTATCGCATTACATTAGTTATTGTCCACAATGTGACATCGTCTGAATCCCGCAAAGATGCAATTAAAGGGTAAAAATTCCCGTTTTTTAACTTTTAGGATGTTATCGGAAATACGGTTGAATGGTTCACTTTGTTATCGGAAATGTCGGTTTTTGTTATCGGAAACAAAGGTTGTCATAGGTTAGGAAAATGTGAAGAAACAACAGAAAACTTCATTAAATCTAAATATTAAAAATGGCAGGCACACAATTCGAATTTTTGGCTATCATTTGTCTCT